TCCTGGGATCAGTTCCCTAACAGTGTCCTTATGCTTGTTAGGCCTTTTTTTTTTTTGTGGTGGTACTAGGCAGGTGCTCTACCACTTGAGCCACTTCTCCAGGCCTCCCTATGCCTTTCAGATCAAAGTCTTCAGACAGAATTTGATTGGCCCTGCCTGGGTTAGGTGTCCACTGTGGTTCAATGCCCTTTGTCCAGGAGGGCAGGTTCAGAGATAACAAATTTAATGCTGGGGTGGCCAGGTGTACTTATACATACAGCTGCTCTACCACTGAGCCACTTCTTCCAGGCTCCTATGCCTTCAGACAAGTCTTCAGACAGAATTTGATTGGCGCTGGGTTAGGTGTCCATGTGGTTCATGCCCTTTGTCCAAGGAGGGCAGGTTCAAAGATAACAAATTTAATGCTGGGTGGCCAGGTTTGTACTTATACATACAGCTGGAGCTGCCTGTTTCTAGCAAGGAAGGGCCAGATAGACTACATAAGATTCTTTTGTTCCTTTTTTTTCTAACTCCAAGTTCCTAAAAAAGGATTTTTTTTTTCCCAATGATTGTCTTAGTGCTGGTGGCTCACACCTGTAATCTTAGCTTCTTAGCAGGGTGATGATGGGAGTATAGTTTCAAGCCAGCCCAGGCAAATAGTTTTGAGACCCCAGCCTCAAAAAATACCACAGCAAAATGGACTAGGATGTGTCTCAAACTGTCCTTTGGGCTATACACAAAAGGAATAACTCATTGAGGAGAGAGAAAAATTCTACTCCGTGTGGGCTGCTGATTGCTGAGAAATGAAGAAGCAAGGAAAACACACCACCACCAAAAACCTAAAGAGGCAACATTGAACAGAATTGATTTGCCTAATTTCTAATCTGACTAATTCAAGAGTCAACCAATGCTGCCCATGTGGGAGTGTGTTGGAGGATCCTCGAGGTAGAAGACAGCAGGGTCACTCCCTTGTAACCCTTGGCACCAAATCCTGCCCATAGGCCCATCCTGGTAATTGTCAGGATGCGAGGAATACCATACCCCTATTGGAAGTGGACAATTGTTGGAGTCAGACTTGGGTTCACATTTCCAATCCAGAATTCCTGGAATTCAGTTCTCATCTCTGACCCTCTTCTCTCCCTCGCTCCCCATTCTTAGCACTTGGTCCTTCTCCTTGATTCTTGGCCTCCCACCCTACTAAATGGGCATTTAAGATTTTCCCGTGGGGCTCATTCCTGCTCTCTAGTCTGGCTCAAGGACTCAATTCTCAAACCTCAGCCCAGTGAGGACAGGCTCCATAGCAGTAATTCTGCTTCCCCTGAGCCCACAATGGAGCCCAGAGGTGACAGAGGAAAGAGGCAGGAGGCCACAACCCAAAGAGATAGATGAGATCAAAGTCAGAGCATCTGGTCTGGTCCTGGTTCTGCTGCTCACTTGTTGAGTGGATATGGGTCCATCTTTTCCTCTTTGGGAAGGGATGATACAACAATGATAAAGCTTCCACTTCTGGGAGTGGAGCCCACATTCTGTGTTCCACGTTCTTGTGGCTCAGTGGATCCTCCATCAGTCCTGCTAATGGGTCCCTGAAATTCCTATTTTCCAGCTGAGGAAACTGAGGTTCAGGAAGAGCATTGCTTGAGGAAGGTGAGGAAGCTTTGTGCTAAAGCCTGGACTCCATCCAGGAAGTCTGCCTCCAGCGCCTTGCCTGTGCTATGTATACGAACCTCCCTAAAATAACTTACATTTTCTGGAGCCAGTACTATTTTCCAGGAACCATGCCAAACACTTCGCATCCATTTATCTCCTTGAATTGTGACTCCTTCTCAGAATCTCATCTTAACCATCACTTTGTGATGTTTTCTGAGACTTCTCAATAAATCCATCCCTCCCCACCGCATCAGCCACGTGGCTGAGTTCACTCACACACCTTGAGTATGGGAAATTTAGCCATCTGTTTACTTGCTACACTATCTGTCTCTTGTTCCATCCAGGTTCTGTACAACATAAGCTTCTCAATGGCTGGGATCTTGTTGGTCTAGTCCGTTGTTGTGTCCCCAACACCTCTGTGACTGTCTGGTGACTTACACCTATAATCCTAGCTACTCTGGAGGCAGAGATCAGGAGGATCACAGTTCGAGGTCAGCCTGGGGAAATAGTTTGTGAGACCTTATCTCAAAAATACCAAAAAAGGGCTGGTGGTGTGGAGTGCCTGCATAACAAGGATGAAGCCCTGAGTTCAGATTCCAGTACTAAAAAAAAAGCAAGCAGGGGGACAAAAGAATCTCACTGATGAGCCCTCAAGGTTCTTCCAAGCCCTGACCCTGTCAGTGTGGATGTGCTCTGTCTGTCTTTAGCCTGGAGGGAAGGCCTGACCAGGAAAGAAGCATTTGGCTTGTTTTCACTTTTTTTCAGGGGAGAGTACAGGGCTTTGGACCCCCATGGAGGCCAGGCTGACAGGAGTAGAGGAAACAGCTGCCCAAGCTGATGCCCTGCGGGAGGGAGCGCACATTCCCGGGACTCAGGGAGGCAGCAGCTCCCCGTAACCCAGTCACATTCCAGATCTGTCATTTTCCTGAGCCCAGATGTTTGCTAATGAGCTGGGGAGAGGGGCTTTCAGTCTTGAGTCCCAATTCTGGGCCCCACATTACCTTGGCCCCAAGAGGCTGGCCGAGGGCCAGTAGGCTCTGGCTGCAGGCCCATGCCCTGTGCCAACCAGGCCTGTCCGGGCAGCTGGAGCTGTGCTGCCAACCAGGTGCATCTCCTGGAGCTTGGAGACTCTGACTTGACAGGTTCTGCCTTTCCCGCTGGGGCCCCATTACCCTAGGTTCCTCTAGTGCAGCATCCTGATGGGAGGGGCTCTGAGGCAGTCCAAAGGGCATGGTGGGTACAGGAACATGGGCTGTGGAGTCTAGACCAGCCTTTGTCAGTCACTAGCAATGTGGTCTTGGGCAGACAACTACACTTTTTACTGTCTCGATTTTTCTCATCTGTATAATGGCAATGATAGGATTGTGGTAAGGATTAAATGTCATGAAGCAACACGGTACTTAGCTCAATGCTTGACATAAAATGACAGATGTTGATAGATACTATTCAGGTCCCCCTCCAGGACCCTTGCCCACATGTAGCTGCCTGTCATTGCTGGTGTTTAGCAGACAGCTGCAACTCAGCTCCATCTCCGGGTCCTCAGTGAGGTGGTTGGCATTGCTTTAGAACTTCCCTGTGTTTGCTAGGGTGCTGGGCTGCACTGCTCCGCACTAGCTGGGATTCCACTCCTACTCTGGCTCTGCTGCTGATCTGACAAGCTCATTCAAGACTACATAGCTTCCTGTGGTGTGTCAGTGGGTTCTTCTGACACACAGACATCCACTCCATGCTGCCCAGGGTTCACAAGGCTTTGACTGCAAAACAGTGTTCCCTGAGTGCCTACTGTGTACCATGCGGCAGGGCAGGCTTCTGCAGTCTGTGGTCATCCGAAAGATACCAGCTGGCATTGCCTCTTACTGTGTGTGGCTTTAGATGAGCTATTTAACCTCTCCCTAGTCCAGGCTTTTTTCACTTATTAATGGGGGTGGCAATACTGGGTATCTCATAGATTTATTATGAAACCCTTAGAAAGGTGCTCAACACCTGTGAGCTATTGTAATCTTTTATTATAATTGTCATTACAGAAAGACTAATTTGTGGGAGGTAATAATTAGTAATAATTACTTCATTCAACCAAATACATTAAATGCCTCTTCTGGTCCTTCCTTCTGCACTGGGGACACTGGCATCAACACATGAGCTCTGCCCTCAATGGCCCCACGGTCTAATGGAGGGAAAGACCACAAAAATACTCTAGAGGACCACACCTGTGGTAGTGTGCGTTACCTAAGGGTCTTGGGGAACATTTTCCAGTGTGGTGCTTGAAAAATACATTTATGGGGAGATGAAGGGAGGGAGGGGAGCACAGGAAGCAGCAGAAGCAACAGCCAGGAGACCTGCTGGGTTTGAAGAGGGCAGGAGGGATAGGGTAGCTATAGAGTTACCACCAGGCCACTAGGGGCCCCTAGGATCATCCCCAATTTTAGAACATCACTTGAGCAGGGCTTCCTCCATCTGGGAACTGCCAGCAGAGGGGAAGTTATCTATAACTTTGATATAAGCAAAATCCCCAGGCACCACAGTCGTGTCCATGTGGTGCCTCTGGGGTACCATTTCAAGGAGCAAAGAGATCTTTGTTTGATTGGAATGGACAGGACAGGAGCACAGTTCACGCAAGTGCACAATGATGACAAAGCTGAGGTGGATAACCCCTCCCCCCAAGGTGAGCTCGGGGGACACTGGGCCAGGCACTCTGCTTTTCCCAGAACACAGAGAAGTGAGTCCATTTTCGGAGCCCTAGTTCTGAATAGAAAGGTTAGGGCTCTTAAAAATCCCTTTTCAGGATGCTTCAGCCAAGATGTCTATGGCGATCAGAGGTATGGACAGGAAGGACCGGAACCAGGTCGCACACCCAGGAGCCGATAGGATGGGTGCGCTCAGCAGGATGGGGTCCTGGTACCTGGATAGGAGCACCTATCTAGGGTAGGAGCACCACACAGAGCAAGACTACAATGCTCGGTTCCCACTGAAAGGACACCTCCATCTGTGTCACCCCAAGGCCTGGCATGACCTGACAGCCCAGTCTTGGGAAAAGCCAGATGGAGGGGAGTCGAAGCGCAGAGGAACCCGGGGAGGGCGCCCAGCTCATGCCCTTTCTTCCCGGCACCATCCAGACGTCCGGGCCGCTGCACTGTGCCGTCGGGACGCGCCGAAGCCGGACAAGGCGATCGCCAGCGGGCGTGCGGGCGGGGAAGAGGGGCCGGGACCCGGCGGCCGCAGCGCCCCTCCTGCGCGCCCGGAGGGAGCGGCCGCGCGCGCCCGCCCGCTCTGTGTCGCGCGCGTCCCTCCCCTAGCTGCCCCCGCCCTCGCTCCCTATTTGGAGCTGAGACACCCTGACGTCGGAGCCGCTCGGCTCGCCGCTCCCCAGCACCGCGCGCCCGCCCGGGCCGCAGACGGCGCGCCGCGCAGCCCAGCCGAGCCTCGCGGGGCTGTCCCAGCCTCACCCAGCCTGCCGGGCGCCCGGGCCTGCGTGCGACCCCTGCGGCAGGGCCCGCACCCAGCTCCGAGGACCCGGCGTGCGCGCCGCGCTCCCCGATCCCCCCGCGTGGTAAGTCCCGCCCGGGCCGGCACGCGGGCGCCCGGCTGCCAAAGACTTCGGCGGCAACCGAGCGCCGCGCCCTCGGCCGCCAGCTGCGACCCCCGCGCATCGGGAGGCCGAGGGCACCGAGCGAAGGCTCCACCGCCGAGTCCGGGAACCCGGGGGCCGGACAGGAGCCTCCGGACGCCGTCACTGGGGACGTGGGCGCGGCACCGGGTAGCCAGGGGGTACCGCTGCGTCCTGCGCCAGTCCCCAGCCTCTCCCCGGGGTTCCGTTTCTTGGTAGGAGTTTCCGCGGCCCGGAGAGAAAGTGGGAGGGAGCTGCGTTGCGGAGCGGGAGCGGCGGATCCCGCGATCACCCGGGCCAGCGGCGGGGCTCGGCCGCCCAGCTCGCGCGTCCTGCGGCTCTTGCCCGGGCCTCGCCGCGGACGCTCCGGTCTCCCTTTTGCCCCACTCTCGGCTCTGTCTCCGCATCCGTGTGGCTCTGGCTCTCCGTCGCTGTGTTTCCGCTCCGCTCCTTCTCTGGTTCTGTCTCTCTGTGTCCCACCCCCTGACCCCCCTTCTGCCTCCTGGGTTTCTGTCTCTACCTTCATGCTTTCTCTCCGATTCTCTCTCGGCTCTGCCCTCTGAGGAACTCCACTCTGTCCGCGTGCTTCCTTGATCACCCCCCCCCTCCAATTCACAGTTCCCCAGGGTCGGAGGTTGGGCTCCCCCAGTTGAGTTCGTGGCTAGTTTCCCAGGTCCGCCAAAGATGCAAAACCTTCCCTCTGCCTGCACCGGGGCCTGGCCTGGATCATCCTCTGGAGTTAAGGCTGGGGCAGGGAGAGTCAGCCTTTCCCCTGGCTCTGTTCTCTTCTGTGAGGCAGTCTGCACAACAGGGCCCTGCTGCCGGCCACCTGCCCACCCGCTCCCAGGGCGGGGCGATTCTGATCTTTTACAAGTCCCAGTAAAGGGGGCAGCTGCCTGCCTTTGGCCTGGCCAGGAGGCTGGCGGGCATCCGGGAAAAGGCCACATCTCCAGGCTTTCTGAGGTCCTTGCCCAGCTGGAGGCCACCAGCCTGTAACTGGGCGCACCCCAGGAAAATAGTTTGCTGGCACAGGATGGTGGTGGGGAAGTAACTTGTCAACAAGCAGCCCCTCACCCTTTGTCACTGTCTAACCGTGAACCTCCTGAGACTCCCCCCAGATGCTGGGGCTGCTTGGGTGTGGTTTGCCTTGAGTTGAGGCCAAAGAAGAGAAGGCTGGAGCGTTTCCTTGGTGACCCCCACCCCTCTCCACCCACTCCTGAAAGCTGGACCTCTCTCCTGGGCCTGTGTGTTGGAGGAGTGGACAGGGGAGTAGGTGCTATGTGTTAGCCAGGAACATGGCCTCATTAATTTAAAGTGAAATTTCAGGCTGAGTTTAGCTCCTTCCCCCCAGCCGCAACCCCAAGGGTCGGAGGCTGCTGGGCGGGCAGGGTTGTTGGTGAGGTCTGCAGTAGGACTTCTGTTGAGCAGATGTGCAGGCCAGCAACTCATTAGCATGGATTTGCTGTGGAGACTGTTTTTGGTCTGCGGGTAGGAGGGCCCTAGCTTGGGGTGGGGGTCTAGCACAGAGGTAGCTATGGTTTGGAGGGTGGAGCTACCTGGCAGAAGAAGGCAGGCCTGGGTGGCATGGACTTGGCCCTGCATGTCTGTCCCCTGGACATTTGGTTTATGCTCTGCCCAGCTGAGATCTGGAAGGAAGCTGGAAGGAAGGAAGCCGCCCTGTGGTGAGACTGGGGTCGTGGAATAGCAGTGGCCTGAAGCAATAAGCTCTTCCCGAGGGAATCTGCTCAAATAGACATTCCCAGGCCACACAGCCCATTTCACAGGTGGCAAGCAGGAGGTTAAGGAGGCGAAGCCAATGGTCAGTGACTTAGTCTGTAACCACTGGGCTGTCCTGCCTCCATGCACACAGTAAGCCAATGGATGGGGTTTGGCCGGAATGCATCATGGGACTTCAGAGAGCCCAGGAAATCCTTCTGGACTGACCCTAGTGAGTGGGGACCTCACACCTGACACGGCCTTACCCTTACCCACAGCACATTTGCAGTTGCACCATTCAAGGAAGTCCCTGTACTCATTCCAGGACCTGGAGGATTGCCCCACCCTGCTGATCCCCAAGCCTAGGGCTGTGGCCACAAGTGCCACACCCTCTGCGCCAGCCGCATGCGCATCAGGGCATCCAGGCAGAGCCTGTTTTCTGCCGCTGGGTCTAGAGGGGTCTGCACTCTTCAGACCTCTGTCTTCCAAGGGGCTGAGTCCAAGGGGCTCTTCCCTCAGCAAGTGGCACTCAGCAGTTTATAAGGACCCTTCCCAACCATCCTCTTGTTTGCTTGAGTTTCACTTCAAGGTGTCCCCTAAACCCAGTTTAATTGGGCTAGAAATGCCCCCAGATTGAGAAACTCTCAGGGCCTACCCAGGATCCAGAGGGAATGGTAGAGGCCAGGACAGATAACAGACCCAGCATTCATGGTGGCCCTCTGAGGACATAAGTCTTAGGTGACAACCTCTCCAGAGATTCCCACGTAGTTTAATTCAGTGGTTTAATGGCAGCCTTGGGAGGGGGTGGGAGGGGGGAGTTGCCACTATTCCTGCTTTGGAGATGAGGAAACTGAGGCACAGAAAGGTTGGAGAAGCTGAGCTAAGGTTGTAGGGAAGGGAGGGAGGGAGAGACCCAGAACCTTTTAGTGTGTGTCAGGAGTGAGGTGGGGTACTGGAGGCACTGAGTTTGAACAAGTCACAATTCCATGTGTTTAGTGTGTTAGTTTCCCTGTAGCTGGACGTTGAGCCTACAGATGGAAGTGACATGAAGTCACCTGTGGGAAAGGCTAACCTCCCCAGTTGGTTAGGGAAGCAGGAGCTGTATGGGGCAGGGAGCTGGCCTCTCTACCAAGGATTTGCCTCATCTCTGGGTAGTGTGTGTGTGTGTGTGTGTGTGTGAGAGAGAGAGAGAGAGAGAGAGAGAGAGAGAGAGAGAGAGAGAGAGAGAGTAAGATTGAGAGAGAAAGAGACAGACAGACACTGGGATGCAATCTACCTTGAAAATCCTGGGGCAAGTTCGAATAATCTTGACTATTCAGATTTTCCAAAAGAGGAACTGAGGAATGATTGTTCACTTGTCACATCAAGTCCCATCTTTGCCACACAAAGGGTTTCATGGTGTGTGGGCCTGGAGGAGGTGATCCTTCAGATCTAGGTCCCTCCCTGTTGCAGGCCTTAGGACCTCTGTGGTGGGGCTGAGGGGCCCCTGACAGCCGTACTATTAAGTATGGCTCCTGGGGAGCTGGAGGGCCATAGGTCCTGACCTGGGGGGGGCCCCTCCCAATCATGTGGGGGACACATGTTGACACCCTCCTAGGCCACACCCCAGACCATGCAGGCTAGGCCCAGACATCTGCATTTCTGTTGGGCATCTCAGGATGGCTGCTGGGTTCTCGTAGGCCTGGAGTGACCCCCCAGAGCTCTGTCTAAAGCCCAGGGCCTATGTTGTTGCTGTGTCACCTCCCTGGCCTTCTCAAGGGACCTTCTGGACCAAAGTCCCCATAGGGAAGGCACCAGGGCCCTTCTGTGCTCACAGCACCCTTCCCTGGAGTGGCTAACCACTTCTGTGACTGGTGTGTCAGTTTCCACGGTGCTGAAATGGGTCCGTCAGCCATTGTTACCTCCTTGGGGCTTATTTTCTGTGTGGATGGTGCAGACGGCCTCTGAGGAACAGGGGGCTTGGATTTGGGGAAGAATGACGGGTGGGGTGGTAAGAGGGCTCCTACCTATGAAGGACACCTTGATAAGTTTCACAGCAGCTCTGTGGGGAAGGGATCATTCATAGCTGTACTCAAGTCCTAAGGAGCCAGGGTCTGCCATTGTCAGCTGTTTACCTTCCAGGGAGTTAGGAGTGGGATTCGAACTCTGATCTGTGGAATCCTCCAAGTTCCAGCCTGGGCAGTGGTCGAACACCAGAGGGCTGACAGGAAGAATAGGGCAACTGCAGGGGACTCATCCCCCCTATCCTAGCTCCCCATTCCATCTCCCCATTCCCTGGACATTTCTCTCCCTGTTTCTTGCTGCTTTCTCTTCTGGGAACCTTCCACCTGTAAGGATAGCTGGCAGCCCCGCTGCTACTGTCCAGGGTCAAATCTCAGCTACCCTATGGATTAATTGTGTAAGTTCCCATGAATCTATTCCTCCAATTTCACCTATAAGTGGAGAGAGTATGGAGTCTGCCCATGGGGTTATTGTAAGAACTGAGTCTAAAAAGATTAATACAGGGTAGGTAGGAGCCCGCACAAAAGTGCTCGTTGGCTGACCCACAGTCAGGACCAGCTTTTGCCGGTGAGGAATAGCAGGTGGACTGGTTGGGGGCTATAACCTCCCCTCCCCCTTCCTGGTCTTTGCTCACACAGTGCCCTCAGCCAGGAGCTCCCTTCCTTTCCCAGTCCTGTGTTCAATCCAGAGTTAAGGATTACTGCTTCCCTCTGCACAGCCACCTCTGTCCCTGCTCCAAACAATTTCTTCCCCTGGACCCACCTCCCTGGACCCTTCCCACCCCCTACCCCCCACCCGCCCTGGGCTTGAGCTCTTGGCTGGGTGAGTGAGGGTTCCCCTGCCCCTCTCATCACAGCCTCTCCCCTGCTGTTCAGAAGGCACCTGGAAAGGGAGTGTCCACTGCGGGAACGGAATGGCCCACGGAAGGGAAGGGCATGGCTCTGCCTACTTGCTGTGGGGCCTTGGGCCAACTTCTCTGCACAGCCCGGGGCGTTGGCCTGGGAGATCGCTGACTCCTCTTCCCATCCTGGCACTCTGGCAGTCCCATGACTTGCTGTGTGAACTTCAGGGTGGGGAGGAAGGGTTGAGAATCTGGGTGAGGCTCTCAGAGGCTCAGAAAGGAAGATTTGACTGCTGCTTAAAAAAAAAAAAAAAAAAGAAGAAGCAATTAGCTGCTGGAGTGGTCATGCCACCTATCATCCTGGCATTTTGGAGGTGGAGGCAAGAGGATTGCTAGATCCAGGCCATTCTGCACTGCACATTAAGACCCTGTCTCAAAAAAGGAATTAGCTAAGTTGCTGGTTGAAAAATCAAAAAAGTATGAATCAACAACAAATAGAATCTGCTAGCATAGAGCCCACCCGCTGTGGGGGCAGCATGGGTTCTTCCTGGCAGGGTGAGATGGCAGGTGTCCTGATACATGGGAGAAGCTTGCCCTACACCCCCTGCTGCCCCTCCAGTCCAGCCTCCACTTTGATCCTGTCCAGCCTTTCCCACAATCCCCCTGGGGGAACAGAACTGGCTTGAGGGTGGGTGCCTGTTGGGTGCTGGGTGCTGGGTGCTTTCATTGCTCTTTAGTTCTTCTCCAGGGAGGGTGCTGAGAAAGGTGGGTTCTGAGAGGTGACTTCATTACTGGAAGCCACACAAGTGGGAGGGGTGGGGTTACCACATTGGGGAAACCAGGGGCCCTGTATCTGATGGGAGTGGCTAGTTTGCTGGTGCTCAGGCTGCTGGGCTGCAGAAGCTGTTGGTGGCCCCAGTGTCCTGCTTGGAGGTCTGGGTAGGGCAGGGTGGGTTGGGTCACAACAACTCCTCGGCAAGCACGTCTGGCCTTTAGGATCAGTTCTCTGATCTTTGCTGGAGAGGAAGGAAGATAAAGGAGGTGGCCTTCTGCCTCAGCTCAGCTCAACTTCTGCCAGTCCTGATCCTAATAACCAGTGCCGGATCTCCAGGCCAGCAACCATCCCTGCAAACGCACCATTATACTCTCTCTCATTAACCTCATCACCTGTCACAACTCTGTTCAGTCTTAGCCTGGTCCTGCCCTGCAGCCTCAATTGTGATCTCTCTTAATTCAGCTCCAAGTCAGAGCCACACACCCATCTCCAGGCCACTGTCATTACAGCTGCAATCCCAAATCCCATGGAGACCCTAGCATCACTTCCTACCCCAGTCGCCTCCTAGTCTTACCTGACCTGTTGTTCTCAAGGAAGTGCAGTGGGGCCAGGTGTGTGGCAGAGACTTCTCTGAGGTCTAGAGAAGCTGGTTCAGCCCCAGGGGGCCCCAGGGAGTTCCAGCCTTAAATGGGCCTTGAGGTTTTTTTCAGAAGGTCATGGTCAAACCATAGACAAGGCTGATTCCGTAGGAAGGGCAGAGGACCTTTTAGGAGCACTAAATCTCCTGGACGCTACACTGTTCCAAAACAGTTAGGAAGAAATCCATTCAATTTTGTTAGGCTGGCACTGTACCCAAACCATGGGCTTGTGGGGGAGACCAGAAAAGCGCAGGTGAGAGCCTGGACCAGGGCAGGAACTCATTGTGGTGGGGACAAACTGTGAACCCTATCTCCAGCTGCTCTCTCTACTCCCTGCTGGGTCGGGGCAGAGGTCATCTCTAGTGACCCAAGGGAAGCCTCTGCAGAGAGGAGCGAGAGTGGAGGGACCTGCTGGATGGTGATTCCCCTCACTTCCCAAGAAACCCTGCTCAGCCAGCCCACCCAGACTTTCTCTGCAGGAGCAGGCCAGCCCAGTCCCTGGGCATGCTACAGAACACCTGCCTCTGCTCTCCTGACCTGCTTAGTGCAGAAGGGGGGCCAGGATGGAGCTGTTCTGAATGGGATGCCTGGTCCCAGCCGTCCATCTCCACTCCAATGGCCAGCCCCTGTGAGACTAATGGGACTTGCCTGCCCCCATTCAACCTCACCCAAGTGCCTCTGGGGACTGTCCCAAGATAGACTGAGCTGGACAGGTTCCCCACCAGAACCTCTTCCATCCCAGCTTATTAAAAATGCCTTGGAGCTTCACTCCTCAAGTCTCCAGGGACTTCTCATGAGTTATCAGGTGTTGAAAGTCCTGGCCTAAGGTCAGGAAGCAGGCCTGAGTGTCATGTGTGTTCAGTAGTCTTCCTCCAGGGTCCCCCTCCCCCGCCACTCGGGCACTGACCTTATCTCCAAGTATCTCTGGGGGTGGTGGGTGAAGTCTACAGAAGTTAAAGGTGGTGGACGGGGCAGGGATGGGAGGGTGGGGGAGGTGGGTAGGGGGTGTCTCCTCTGAGTGGATCCTTCAGACACAACCTGTCCTGCACCGCCCTCTTCTGGTCAATTCAGGTACTGCGTCTTGCTCCTTCCTTGGATGTAGTTTGCAGATTCATCGTTGATTGTCTCCTGCTTGTCTCTGGCTTAGGGTGGGACTGGGGATAACGACGTGTGTACTGCCCTGGTGGGCACAAGGCTCTGGCGGGGCAGTCTAGGAAGACATATGTCTGGCTGGGCGGCATAAGAATTCATTGTGACAAGGAAGTCGAGTGAGCATCACAAGCCTTACAACTATTGTCAGTACCTTTGTAGGGGACATGGTGGGTGGCCAGCCCCTCAAGGGCTGCGGGGACAGCTCTTTTTTTTGTGGTGCTGGGGTTCAAACCCAGGGCTTTGACACACCAGGCACATGCTCTACCACTGAGATACACTGCTAGTCTCACGGTTTTTTTACCCACAAAGTGAAAATCAAGCTAATGCCTGTGGAACGCCGTATGTGCTGTGTTTAGTAATTGCCACATCCTCGTCATGCACAGCATTCCCACCTCCCCCTTCTAGGTTCAGAAACTAGGCACAGAGATAAAAAATATCTTGCTCAAGGCTAATAGTAAGTTATAAAAATAACTAATACATTTAGTTATTTGGTTATCTGCTAGGCTCTTTTATTATTCATTTTATCCTCCTGATACCCGTCTGATGCAGTACTATATACAGACCCATTTTTGAGGTTCCGAGAGGAGAAATAAGGCGTACTTGGTTAGAGAGTGGGGAGCTGGCTTTGGAGCTAGGGACAGAGCTCCTGCTTGCAAAGCCACCACCCAGCCTCACTTGCCACCTGTGCTCAGTTCCAGGGCTCTGGAAGCCACGGGCATGATGCTTCGGGTTCTGGTGGGGGCTGTCCTCCCTGCCATACTGCTGGCTGCACCCCCACCCATCAACAAGCTGGCACTGTTTCCGGACAAGAGTGCTTGGTGTGAAGCTAAGAACATCACCCAGATCGTGGGCCACAGTGGCTGCGAGGCCAAGTCCATCCAGAACAGGTGTGACCCAAGAGGTTGGGGGTGAGGGAAGGGGCCTACGAAGAACAAAGACCAGGGCTGCCTACTCCTGCCTCCCCCGTGGTAACGGTATGGTGACCTCTCCTCCCACAGGGCGTGCCTCGGACAGTGCTTCAGCTACAGTGTCCCCAACACCTTCCCGCAGTCCACAGAGTCCCTGGTGCATTGCGACTCCTGCATGCCAGCCCAATCCATGTGGGAGATTGTGAGTATGACCACCTGCCTGTCCCTGCCCAGTTCCTGCCCTGTGGCATCGCCTAAGGACTCAGGAAGGCCCTGCCATGTGTGGGGTACAGATAGGGTCCTTGCCACAAGATGGCCCAAGAGGCTGACATCAACTTGTAGAAGACAAGTGATCTTTAGGAAGTTCCATTGAGATGGAACTCAAATCCTCACAGTGGCCTATAGTTTTCAGGCTGAGACAAAAACTTCTGCCTCACTATGCAAGGTCCTGCCTGGGCTGACTCAGCAGAGTTTCATCTTGCCTCCCACCTTCCTTACTATCCTGACACTTGACACCAACCTGCCTCCTTTCAGTCCCTCCTACCTGCTGTGCTCCCTTCCACCACAGGGCCTTCACACATGCTTGGTCCTGCTCAGAAACCTTCCCCATCCCCCTCAGCTACTTAACTTCTATTCATTCTTCTGTTCTTGGTCAAGCATCATTTCCCTCAGGACCCCTTTCCAGACTCCTGACTGAGTTGGATCCCTGTAACATTGGCTCTCAAAGCACTGTGTGCCTCTACCTTAACATCTGCAGCATCTGCAGCCTCCCAAACACATCAGAGTGCTTTGAGCAAGCCTGTGCCCCCAACTAGACTGAGTGCCTTGAGAGATCATCAGAAGTGGCATGGAGTAGGTGTTCAGTGGAAGGAAGGAAGAAAGACAGGGAGGGAAGAAGGGAAGAAGTGTAACCACAGGGAAGGTGGGTTCCTATAGGGTGAACCTCTGCTGAGCTGGAGCTCAGCATAGGGATCCTTTGGGGAAGTCATGTCTGAGCTTGGACTCAAAGGTTGCCCAGAAATTCAATGGGCAGAGTTTGGGCAAGTGGTAGGGCGATGGGTTGGGCAAGACCCCGTCAGGCAGAGGGAACAGCATATGCAAAGCCTCTGAGGTGGCACAGGTGGCGGGAGTGGTGAAGGACTGGGATGGAGAGGTCAGCTAGGGTGGGCCTGAGGAAGGGGTCAGGAGTTCTCTCCAAGTGCAGTGGGAGTGCCCAGGGAGTCTTCTGTGGAGGAATTGGGTGGGGGCAGCAGGACTGGGTGTGAGGAGATAAAGTCAACTACTGGAGAGGTCCTAAAAGGGAGCCAGGCTGTCAAGGGGGCTCTGGATATCCTGGTGCCATGCAAATGTACTACTCTTGGGGCCTCCCTACCTGCCACAGGCCTCAGGAGACATCTCTTCCCTTCTGCCTGCCCTCCCAGGTGACCCTGGAGTGCCCCGGCCATGAGGAGGTGCCCAGGGTGGACAAGCTGGTGGAGAAGATTCTGCACTGCAGCTGCCAGGCCTGTGGCAAGGAGCCCAGCCACGAGGGGCTGAGTGTCTACGTGCAGGGCGAGGAGGGGCCAGGCTCCCAGCCTGGTGCCCACCCCCATCCCCACCCCCACCCCCACCCTGGTGGGCAGACCTCTGAGCCTGAGGAGCCTCCTGGAGCCCCCCATGCTGAGGAAGAGGGGGCTGAGGACTGAGGCCCCTAAGTCTTCCTCCCCACTCATCCCCCTGTGGAATGTTGGGGCTCCCCCTCTGGGGAAGAGTGAGGGGAGATGCACAAGCCCCACCTTTGGCACTGGATGGACTTGGAATCAGACTTGGACTTGGAATGCTGCCCGGTTGCCATGGAGATCTGAAGGGGCGGGGTTTGGAGCCACGCTGCACAATTTAATATATGTAAGAGTTGGGGGGTGGGAAGCAGAGGTCTTCAGGGCTCTTTTTGGAAGGTGGGGAGTACCTTTCTTTTCTGCCTTCTAGAGATGTGCCCTTTGGAGGGGGAGGAAGTTGGCTAAGCTGCTGAGGAGAGGGTGAGGCCCTCCAAGATGGTGAGCCCAGGCTGGGGCCCCCGCACAGCCCCTGGTGGGGCAGGATCCCCAGGTCACAGGGGAGCTGAGGGTGGGCATCAGGCCAGCCTTTTCTTTGTAGGAGAGGCTGGGCTAGGAAGACCACTGGCAGAAGCAGGAACTCCAGCCCAATACTTACCCAAAGGCCATCCCCACCCCCCATCCCCAGAGCAGCGTGCTCTCCTGGGGCACGAAATCCTCCTCAATGGAGTCATTAGGGAGTCAAGCCAGGGCAGGACCCTGCTGATTCCGGGCACCAGAATGGGAGTCAGGCATCTGGGCCTAGCTGTGGCTTCCTCAGTTTGCCTCGTGTTGTGGGGGGTGGACAGTGGACAGAGGGGTGAAGAAGAGTGCTCCTGGCTAGGGGGAGGATGCGAGCCCCCAGCCCATCACCAAAGAAGGTCATACCTCCCTTCTCTGCCTCTTAGAGATCTCAGTGTCAATCACTTCCCCACATTCTAGACCCCTCAGGATGCTGACAGAGCCAATCCCCTCTGTCTTGCTCTGTATCTGACACCGGTGGGTGGGGGTTGTCTCCCTTACCTGGAGTGGACTCTGACTGAGCCTCTAGGATCAGCAGGACAAGGAGACCCCTGTGGGAGGCCCACATTGAGCTTGGCTCTCTTTAGTTTCCTAGTTCTGCGCCCCACTCCCAGCTGCACTTTAACCCTAGAGTGACGTGGGACCTGGGGGCCGGGCCGGCAGGCAGGCAGGTGGGAAAGAAGATCTCTGTCTCCTGTCTTGGTGCACTGCTCATTTGTGCCCAGGGCTCTGCCAGCCCACCAGCCCACCTGGGAGTGCCCTGGTCCACGCTGTTCCGAAAAAAGCTTCCAGAGCTTGTAACCAGTAGACATCTCCCTGACTGACCGAGTCTTCTCACGAATAAATGCCTTTATTGACAGTGTTCTCTTCCCTGTGGCCGGACTCTGCTGACCTGCAGTCTTGGGGGTCCAGGGAAGGGGAACCTGGGAGTGGAGCCCCCATGAACCCCTGAAGCACCTCTGTGCATCCTGTGCCCTCCCACTTGCCCCACCCTGTGTACTCTCTTACCAGACCTCGTCCGTGGGTGCCAGTTTCTGGCCTTGCATGCACCTGGAGGTGGATTTTGACCCTTGGTCCATTGGTCTTGCTTTCTGCCATCTCTTCATCAGCATCAGCTCTTGCTGGTGGCCCCAGCCTGGCTTGCTCCCCCTGGAGAACAGGAAACCAAACCAAAAGTCACTGGTTACAAATTTACAAATTGGCTAGGAAATTTGCATAAAGGAAACTGCCCAGTCCTCAGCAGCATCCAGTGACATTGCTCTTGTACAGATGAGACACCTGAGGTGCAAGGGATTGAGTAAGTTTCCCTTGGTCACGAGGTTAAGAAATGCTGGCAGGACTCCAAACCAGACAATCTGGCCCAGAGCCCACGTCAAACCTGGGGATATCAGTACTCAAAGTCATGGGGAGACTTTTCACATTTGTTTTACAGAGTGGGAAACTGAAACTCTGGAAGCATAGATGACTTGCATAAACCCACAGGTGGCCCTGAGGTCACACTAGGACACCTCAACGTGGCAATCAAAATCCTGGCAATGTGTGCCACTAGAGGTCCTTGGTGCTGGACCTCTGAGCCCCAGTGGCCTTGGATGTGAGCACTGTCTTGGTGACAGGAAGAGGCTTGGTTGTGAGCAGGATGTAAATTCTTACATAAATGAAGAAGTTGCTGGTGGAAATTACTCAGGAAGATGGAAAGAAGGGCAAGGCTAGTGCAGGCCTGGAACGCCGGCCAGAGATCAGATTCCGGCTCTTTGCAGTGAGGTGTCTCAGAGAGACTTAAGGGGAGTGGGAAGAGGCTGGAGCCCCGCCGCGGTGAAAGTAGTCCCAGGAGGGCAGAGGCTCCTGGTGGAGATGCTGGGGGCCAGAGATCCGTGGGAATGGTGGATTGGAGAGGCGGGGCCACATGGGAGAAGCGCTGCTGATTGGATGAGGGGGCCCAGCAGAAGAGGAGTCCAGGTAGGAGGAGGAGCCGGATTTGAAGGATGATGATAATTTGAGAAATTTGTCTAGTTGTGCCGAATGGGAGTGTGTGTGTGTGTGTGTGTGTGTGTGTGTGTGTGTGTGAGAGAGAGAGACAGAGAGAGACAGAAAGAGAGAGAGAGAGAGAGAGAAAGAGAGAGACAGAGAGAGACAGAGAGAGAGAGAGAGACAGAAACAGAGGTGGGAGCAGTGATTTTTGCCTTCTCTCTACTAAGCTCAAACTGAACCACCAAGCGAGCCTCGGAATAAAATTGCGCCTCCCTGCCCCTCTTCACAAGGATGAGCAGGGCTCCTACTTGCTAGGCAAGCACTCCACTAGTGCTTTGAGCCTATTCTTTTTGTGTGTGTGTGTGGGACAGGGTTTTGAACTCAGGGCTTCATGCTCGCAATGGAGGTGCTCTGCTGCTTGAGCCACACCTCCAGCCCATGAATGAACTTTACATATGGAAATTATATATCTTTTTGATGGTACTGGGATTTGAACTGAGGAGGAGTTCTACCGCTTGTGCCACTCTGCCAGCCCTTCTTTGGCTTTTTAGTTTTTTTTTTTTTTTCAGGTAGAGTTTCATGCTTTTACCCAGGCTGGACTTGAACTCAGGTCCTCCTACCTCTGCCTCCGTAGTAGCCAGATTACAGGTGTGTGCCACACTTCAACGGCAGGCCTGGTTGGCAGATAGTTAGGGGTAACTCATATCAGCTTCCCTGCCTATGTGGTACTAGCTATCAGCTAGTTTTCTTCCTCTGCTCAAAGCCTCTGGGAAAGTTTGGACTGCCTGGTTCAAATCCTAGCTGGGCCTCTTCCTAACTGTGATCAAGCAAGTCACAGAAGATCTGTGAGGTTTAGTTTTCCTACTAACATCACTCCCAGGGTCATGGTGAGTTTCCGTTAAAGCACTGACAGAGCTTGGAACACTGCTTGGCACTGGCTAAGCCTTCAGTAAATAAGCTATCAACTGCTATTATTATTGAGAATGATTGGTGCACACTAAGGTGGCTGGGCTGATAGTTTTGTTTGGTTACCATTCATTCATCAGACATACTCTCCTCCCCATGCTCTACCTTTTCTGTGGTATTGATGTTTGAACTCAGGGCCTTGCACTTGCTAGGCAGGTGTCCTATCACGTGAGCCACACCACAGCCCTTTTTGCTTAAATTATTTTCAGATATGGTCTCCCACTTTAGTCTAGGGACAGCCTTGGACTGTGATCTTCCTACTGCTGCCTCCCATGTAGGTGGGATTAAAGATGTGCACCACATTACACCTGGCTTGTTCTTTGAGATGGGGTTTTACTAACTTTGCCAAGGCAGGCCTCAAACTGCCATTTTCCCATCTCTGCTTCCCACATACCTGGGATTATAAGTATACACCATGGTGCCTTGCCCCGGGAAGGTTTCTTTTTTTTTTTGAGAAACTAATATGTGTCAATGACACAGCAGTGAAGAAAACAGACAGCCTGCAGAACGGGGTTTGCCCACTTGGTCAAGTCCTTTTGTGACAGCAGCTTCCTGCAGGACTCACAACCTCTCTGGTCCTCGCTTTCTTCATCTCCATCTGTCTTGTAGTCTCCCATGTTCTGCCCAATATGGAAATTGTCTGAGGCAGAGGCTTGACTTTCTTAGACTCAGCTGTCTCCTTCAGAGAGGGCGCGCCCCTGCTAGAAGAAACCGGGAAAGGACTGAAAGCCCTTCAAGTCCCTCTTGACCCTGCCAAAGTAAGGAAGTCTAGGCCTTAGATACAGGAACTCACACTTGGTGATTTGGGAAAAGGTTCCAGTTGAAGATAATAACAACATGTCCACAAGGTGGTGCCACCACCCTAGCCCAATCTTTTAAAAAATAAAAATTTTAATTATAGCAAAGTAAGATAAGGAGCATCCTTGAATGTATCAGCCACGATGAGCAAATGTAAAAATCATCATGTTTTCATTATAAAAAATAAGATACCACACATTACAGAAAAAAGCTAATGCAAAGGACACAGCACACCTCACTAGAAACTAAATGTTACAAAGCTAAAATGCATCAGGACCTTCTCTGTGCTCAAAAGTTTAAATGCTCAGCTCATTGTCCTCACATTACAGCAACATAGAACTTAACAGGCTTTGCCAGCTGGGTGTGTGGTAGTGCATATCTGTAATCCTAGACCTTGGCGGGAGGCTAAGGCAGGAGGATCATGACTTCCTGGCCAGTCCAGGCTACACAGTGAGACTCTGTCTCAAAAACAAAAAGAAAAAGGGGCTTTGCTAACCTCACAGACCAGGTCACAAAATCATGATATGAACCCAGGTCGCCCAGCTCTAAAATCTGTTCTACCACAGCTATCTCGGCATTGCCAATTGCTCACATCAGGAATCCCTGGACAGCCAGTTATCTCAGGGTGGAACATATTCCCATTATGCATATGGGAACACCCAGGGCAACCCCTAGTCTGACACAGTACCATCAGGTTAACAGGGTACACCTGTGTCATTTCACCCCTTCAGCAACTTTGCCGGGTGGATGCTGTGTTCTGCTAAGCATGCAGAGGAGGAAAAGTGACCCAAGGAGCTGGAGCCGCTGCCCCAAGTCCTCAGAACTATTAAGCAGTGCAGCTGGGATTCCAGGTCCTTGTCCTGACGCTCATTCCAGCCTCCTGCACTGCTTCCTGTTCCTTGGGTCAATGCACTGTGATGTCGGGGAGGGGGACAGGCCTCCTTCCCCTACCCAGAGCCATCTGTGGACTTGGAGTACCAAACAGCAGCTGGGAGGTGGGTGGGAAGCTGCAGGGTCTGAGGTTTCTGTCAGGAGGTTCCCTGCCATCTGCTGTGGACTCCCTCTGTCTTGGGCACCCAGGGAACCTGAGACTCAGTTCCCACTTGATTGCTTGCTGCTGGTTGACCTTGGAAGAGGCCGTTGACCTCTCTGATCCCCAGTTTAACACCTACCTCTCAGCATAATTGTTGGGGTAGGAATAGGGACTAGGGATATCATAAGAGTAGGAATAAATACAATAAAGCCTGGAGACAGAGCTGGACGCTAATATGTGGGGTTTTATTTTTGTTTCTGTAACGGATTACTCCCGGATCTTGTACATTTTCTTTGTTCCCACAGCAGTTATCACTGTACCATCACGTTGTATGTTTATTATGTTATTGTGTATCGTCTGTCTCCTTCCGCTAGAATGTACGCTCCATGGAAGGGGGCGGGGCTGGTTTGGTCAGTATAGCGTCCGGATTGGTCAGTACAGTGCCTTATTCTTACTAGGTGCTCAAGAAATATTTGTGGAGGGAACAAATGGATTCCACAATATTAATCTTCACAGCAGTGTTAGGTAGGGAGATCAAAACCAGGGGGGCACCGCACCCTACCTCCCTGCAGTTCTCTTCCTGGTCTGGAGATTCCCAAGTCCATTCACTTGGGAGCACCAATAGGTCAGGGCCTTCACCCGTAGTACTTGGATCTTTTGGGGAAGGGATGGCTCTTGCTCAAAAGACTTGGGGAGGGGTAGCGCGCTGCTTAGACTAAAGGTGAAGAATGCCAGGGATTGCTAACCCATTTTATAGATACAGCAATTGAGGCCCAAAACGGTGCCACGTGCCTTGTCCAATGATTCCCAGCAGGCTCCCCCTGAAAGCGCGGTAACCCTCGCCTCTAGTGGCCGGATTCCCTCGGCCAGACTTTTCTGGGGAGCAACCCCTGGGTCTAGGCAGGTCGCAGCCACTTTCTTTGAGTTCCGCCTGCGCCATCACCACTTGTGGGTTGGGGAGGGGTATGCGGAGGTGAGGGGGTGCCTTTGCACGGGAGGTAACCCGGCGCAGTTGGGGTGCTCGGCGCGTCCCTCCGCAGGCCTGGGGTACCGCGACCCAGCTCGGGGGCGAGGCTGGGGCTCGGCTCTCCCCGCCCACCGCGGGGCGGGGCGCACGCTCGGCGGCTCGGGGACCGCGCTCTGCTGAAGCTCCGCTGGCCCTTCGCCGGGTCGCCTCCTCCCGGCCCGCGGCCGCCTCTCCTGTCCAGCCCCGCAGCTCCTACCGCAGTCGCCGGCAGCCGAGCAGCGCCGAGCGCCCCAGGTAGGCAGTGCGCGCGGGCGGAGGCGACCAGGCGACCCGGCGCGGCGCGGCGCGGCGGGGAGGGCTGAGCGCGGCTCTGCCCAAAGCCAGTGGTGCCACCCGGTCCTCGGCCTTCCGCGCGCCGCAGGGGCCGAGTGCGTCGGGTACCCGGTGCCTCTGCGCCGGCGGAGTCCTACCTGCCCCACCGGGGCTTTGCCCCTGCCCCAGGGCCACTAAACTGCGACCCTCAAACCCGAAGGCTTCCTACCTAGCCCCCTCCCCCCCACGCCCACCCTCCGCTGGGAACCTGTTCCTGCTGAGGCGCCCTGTCGCCGACTGCTCCCACCTCCTGGGACTCTGCCTCTGGCCGGGCGCCCCCGCCCCTTTTTATGCCACCCCCTCCGGGGGGCCCTGTTCCACCCCGGGGCGCTCATCCAACGCCGTCCTAACTTTCCGCCGCTCCCTTTAGGGGACTCTGTTCATCAGGTGCCCCTCCCAAAACTTCCTACTCCAGTTGTCCCCGTCCCACCCCTGGGGACGCTCATATAACCCCTTACCATGCTCCTCCTGGTCACTACCCAGCCCCATGACCTAGCGACCCCGCCCCTGTCTTGTCACCCACTCTCCTAGGGGGCTGTTCTCACCGACGACGCCCATCCAGACCCAGGTTCCTCTAGGCCCCTTCCCTATCCTACTGCCCATCCTGTCACGTCCGGATCCTCCATCCCCAGTCCCCATGGTCCCAGAGCCAGGCCCTGCCAACAACAGCACCCCAGCCTGGGGGTCCGGGCCGCCGGCCGCCCCAGGGGGCAGCGGCTGGGTGGCTGCCGTGCTGTGCGTGGTCATCACGCTGACCGCGGCGGCCAACTCGCTGCTCATCGCGCTCATCTGCACGCAGCCCGCGCTGCGCAACACGTCTAACTTCTTCCTGGTGTCGCTGTTCACGTCGGACCTGATGGTGGGGCTGGTGGTGATGCCGCCCGCCATGCTGAACGCACTGTATGGGCGCTGGGTGCTGGCGCGTGGCCTCTGCCTGCTCTGGGCCGCCTTCGACGTGATGTGCTGCAGCGCCTCCATCCTCAACCTCTGCCTCATCAGCCTGGACCGCTACCTGCTCATCCTGTCGCCGCTGCGTTACAAGCTGCGCATGACACCCCCGCGCGCCCTGGCACTCATTCTGGGCGCCTGGAGCCTCGCGGCGCTCGCCTCCTTCCTGCCGGTGCTGCTGGGGTGGCACCAGCTGGGCCACATACGGGCACCTGCCCCGGGCCAGTGCCGCCTGCAGCCCAGTTTGCCCTTTGTCCTCGTGGCGTCAGGCCTTACTTTTTTCCTGCCCTCCGGTGCCATCTGCTTCACCTACTGCAGGATTCTGCTAGCTGCCCGAAAGCAGGCAGTGCAGGTGGCCTCCCTCACCACCGGCATGGCAGGCCAGGCCTTGGAGACACTGCAGGTACCTGGGGTGTGCTGGGAGACCCAGGCTCTTGGGATGGAGGCATTGGGTGACCCTGGGCATCTACTACTTAGTACACCCGTGGTGGCCTCCGCAGGGTCATTAGTAGCTCCAGACTCAGTGCCTGGCTGTCCACAGGACAGTTCCGTGGGATGCGGGGCAGGAAACCACCATGTGCAACAGGGAACTCAGGATGGCCCAGTTCTGCTCCCCTAAACTTCCCCAGGACTGCTGGGTGCATGCTGCTATCATGGCAAGACACCCAGAAACTTCAAAAGCATTTCTGTCCTTGATGCTCAGTAACCAAACCTGATGGTTCTGCCTCCTAAACAGGTACATCTCCACTGCCACCTCCCTAATCCAAGCAACTGTCACTTCTCACCTGGGAGTCTTTGATAGACTTTTGCTCGTTCTCCTGCTTCCACTCCAGACTGCCTCACTACTGTCCACTTTCTACACAGGAGCCAGAGCAAACAAAAAAAAAAAATGTTTTGGCAGTACGGGGGATTGAACCTGGGAGCTTCACGCATGTGCGCTACCACTTGAGCTGTGCCCCACCCCCCCAACTCTTTTGTTTGTGTTTTGTTTTTGAGACAGGGTCTGGCTAACTTTGCCTGGGCTGGTGTCCATCTCACCATCTTCCTGCCTCCACCTCCTTGGTAGCTGAATGAATGCACCTCCATGGCAGGCCAGAGCAATTTTTTTTTTTTTTAAAGTGACCGTGTTGCTCTCCTGCTATAAACCCTGGTATTGCAGTCAAAATAAAGTGCAAGCCCACCTCAGGACATGGCCTCAGGATCCGGGCCTGGCCACCTCTGCAGCTTTTCTGCGGCTCTCCCCTCTTCTCTTTCCCTGCATCAATCAGCCTTGGGGCCCTTTAGACTGTTCCTAGCAGGCATTGGGCTTCTGTGCCAAGGTCTTTGTACTTTCTGTTCCCTTTCACTGGAATGCTTTTCCATGTGGCTGCTCTTACCTGACATCTTTTCAGCCAACCTGTTCCCAGGACGACCCTGACCCCTCTTTGTGCAGATCCATCGCCCTCCTCCACTCTGTTATTCTCTGCCACAACCCCCAGTTTATTTGTTGACTTGATCATTCTGGCTCCCCCCCCCCGGCTTGAATAGAAGCTTTAGTGGCCTGTGTGTATCTCAGCCAGTTTTGATATCCAGGACACCTGGTAGGTGGTTAATGATTCCCTGTGAATGGAAGGTGCTCTTAGCTAAAGGGTCTGCGAGGTCTGTAAGTGGAGTGAGCGGCTGTTCTTGCTACTCCATCTGTGCACCATCCGATGGTCCTTGCTGCAGGGTGGGGGTGGGAATGCACCAGGCCTGAGCCCTAGAGACTAAAAAGAACCCTGGGGCAGGTCCTGGCTGGGCTTCTCAAGATCATCTTGGTGTAGCCAAGGAGGCTCTTGGAGGGTGTCAGATGCCTTGGGGTCATGGAGTGTTTGGGGACTTGGTTGGCAGCCTCATAGTTGTCCCCCAGGGCAGTGAGGCCAGAGACGCACTTGACCTCTCACCTAAGGAGGGCTTGCGGTGGATGAGGATCCTGGCTCAGCCCTGCTTTGTCTCCCTATCTGTGCTCTGGAACGTTCTTGAGTCCCAGCAGATAGGGTTGGGGTGTCTGCTGTGGGCTGTCCACATTCCCTCTTTTTTTTTTTTTCATATTTATAAAGATTTACTTCACCCTCAGTGTTCACTACAATGTCCTGCCTGACCAGGAATTGCCAGTTTGCTGCACATTTTCCTCGATTTTTCCATTAATTGACCTGAGAAGAAAAGGTGATTATACAGGTCTCTCTCCTGTGTGGATTTTCTGACATCAGAGGACAGGTTACTTCTCTGAAAGTTCATAAGCTACGAGCAATGGCTCAGCAGAGTGGTGGTTCACTTCTCACTCGTAGGAACAAGTGGAGGTCATCTTCAGTCCTTACAGAGAATTTTTTTTGGGAGAATGAACTAGGGCCACGCATGTGATATGCCCCCAGGTCTCTTGGTTCTTTTTGTTGTTGTCTGTCCTGAGGTTATGATTGCAGGGCCTCCAACTAACTAGACAAGTGCTCTTCCACTTGAGCCACTCTCCCAGCCTCCCTGGCTTCTTGTAAAGGAGAAAGACCAGGTGCTGGTGGCTCACTCCTATAATCCTAGTAGAGATTATGAGGATTGTTATCTGAAGCCTGCCCAGGCAAATAGTTCTCGAGACTCTATCTTGAAAGTACCCAACACAAAATAGGGCTGGCAGAGTGACTCAAGTGGTAGAGTTCCTGCCTAGCAAGTGTGAGGTCCTGAATTCAAACCCCAGTATTGCCCGCCCCAAAAAAAGTAAATAAAGAGAGCGAGCCATTGGAGGGGGGTGTCTGCTTCCTGACTCTTTCTCCCCCAACCCCAAGCCATTTAATTTCTTGGCATCATTTCACCTATCTTTTTACTTCCAAGAATTCACTTAGAAAGAAAACTTCCCATTGCCATAGTGAGACGGTGATCATGAACACAGCCTGGGGGAAGGCAGAGATGCCCTAGCAGTGTCACTGAAGTGCTCTCGGTATGGCTGGTGTGACGGAGTGCCCAGTCTTTCTCTTTAAAAGCTAGAAGTGTTAGTAACAGAGCAGCAATCACACTGGCCTTCCTTGACATGACCAGAAGGGCTTGGGGCTCATGCTCTCTTTGTGATGCAACAGCATCTTATCACCTAAAAGCACCTCCATCCCTCACTTGGCAAGTTCTGGCCTGGTGACCAAGGATGTGAGAAGTTGGCTGGTCTGTGTGAGGTCAGGGCAGGAACGGTCAGGATCCCTGTTCTAACAACGCCCATGGCCACAGGTCTTCTTTCTGTGAGGCAAGTCAGCTGGTACCAGGACAGAGCCTAAGACCATGGCCTCAGAACCTGGGCAAGAGCCTCCCAGGTGCCCACAGCTATAACCATGGGTCAGAGACACCAGGTAAAGCTTCTTAGTCCTGCAAACACCACCGAGGCAAATACAGTGCTACCATCACCCCTGTGTGACAGACAGGCAAACTGAGGCTCACAGAGAGCAGATGTAGCCTGCCCAGAGTCACCCAGCTGGTAAGGTTCAAGTTCAAATCTGGCTGATGGCGAGGCCTTGGTTTGAGCCAGCGCACTACCTGTGGGTAGTGACCCAGGGCTGTCACATCATGTCCCTTTTGTCCTCTGAGTACTCTGTTGGGTCTTCATCTGTCCTTGGTTGTGGCAATCCTGGGCTTCCATTCTTGTTCCTCCTCCTCCACCTCACTGTTTTCCAAAACAAATCTCACTTTGTATTATGACTGGAAAGACCACGCACAGCCTGGACTCAACATGCCCCAGACAGAACTCTCTGTTTTCCTTATCCCAGACCTGGCCCCAGTGTCTTCCCTATGTCAGTGAACAGCACCCCGTTCTTCCTGTCCCTTAGCCCAGGAACCCTGGATGCCTCTCTCCTCTCACTCCACATCAAACCCTCTCACCTCCATCTTGAAAACACTTCCAGGCTCTGGGCACTTCTCATCTCTCCATTGCTGCCCCCTGGCTGAGCCCCTTCACTGGTACCTGAGTTTTCGCAGTAGCTTCAGGATTCTCTTCTTACTTTCAACCTTATCCAACAGCCAGAGTGATCACTTTAAAGTGCAGTTCCCACCACGTCATTTCTCTGCCCTGGTGGCCTCACATGTCACTTCACCTGGACCTTAGCCACTTACCTGGCTTCCTCTCCTTCTACACCAGCCCTTGTTCTTTCTCTTTCAGCCCCACTGGCCTCCTTGTGCATACCACGAGCACAAAGGTCCTACCTCAGGACCTTTGTACTTGCTGTTCCCTCTGTCAGGAGCATTCTTTCATCTCTATATGGTCCTTCCTTAACTTCTATCACTTCCTTCTGGGCTCTGTTCACTTCCTTCCCTGATCCCTCTCTCAAGACTAGTAACTGGCTAGATGCCAGTGGCTCACTCTTGTAATCCTAGCTACTTGGGAGGCTGAGACTGCGGCTCAAGGCCACACGGGGCAAATAGTTCATGAGACCCCATCTCCAAAATAACTAGAGCAAAAATGGACTGGAGATGTGGCTCAAGTGTTTGAGTGCCTATTTTGCAAGCTTGAAGTAAATGTGAAGCCCTGAATTCAAACCCTAGTCCCATCCAAAAAAAAAAAAAAATCGTAACTGCCACCCTCCCCAGGTCCTCTTCAGTTCTAATTTCCTGAGTTATCTCTCTCAGCAGCATCTACCATATTTCATTGATTGATTGGAGTACTGGGGATCAAACCAAGTGCATGCTAGGCAAGCATGCTACCACTGAGCTACCCCGCCCCTCCATTTACTTACTGATTGCTTATTTCCCCAGTAGGATGCAAGCTCTGTGAGGATGGGGCCTTGTCTTGCTTGCCACTGCACTCAGACCTAAAACAGTGCCTGGCACCTCATGGGGGGCTCAGTGAGTGTCTGTAGAAAGAAGGAAATGAACACGGTGCTCCAGAGCGCCTGGGACCCCCCCTGCTCACCTCGCTGCCTTGTCTTGCTCCCTCAGGACCAGTTTGGTGTGGGGTACATCCTAAGTTCTTCATTGCATGCATGCATTCGCTCAGTAGCGTGTATTGAGTACCGACTGTGGGCAGGAGCGACGGTCAAGGTCCTGCCTTCTTGGAGTCTGTGCTGCAATTGGAGACAGACTTTGATCCTGAGACACTAGCATGAGAGGGATTAGGATTTATAAGAGGGAGCTTCCCCCCGTGAACCTTCTGTACCCATATGTTGGAAGATTAAAGTGAAGAAGTCACAGGGGGTTGGGGACATAGGAGCTGTTCAGTGTGCTGTCCCCCCACTCCCAGCTGCCTTAGCCTTAGTTTGAAAATGGGTTTTTTGCTCAGGCCTTCCTGGCATCCCCAGGGGCTGGGAGGGAGGGCCATGCTGAGAGCTAGTGCTGCAGGGTGGTCCATGTGGGTAGTGGTGTCACTGTGAGAGGGTGTCACTGTGCAAGGGAGTGGGAGTGTGGGGGTCAGGGTGGGGGGAGGGTGCCTGGGTGTGTTAGGCTCAGCCTTGGGCAATTCTGGAGGGACAAGAGCATCACTGGGCAGCAACGGGGCACCATGGGTGCTTGGCCTGATGGAGTAGCAAGAAGGGCCAGCCAGGAGGTTCCTGCTGCCTGCTGCCTCTCCCCCTCTTTGCCAGCATGTCTGTGTCTCTGTCTCTGGTTCCTAATCCTCCCCCTCTCTGTCCCTCCCACAGCTCCATCTCTCTCCTTTCTTTTCCTTCTTCTACTTGTCCCCACCCCCCATCAGTTTCTTCTCCTCTGCACCTTCCCCCACCCCACTGTGCACTGTTCTTAGTGTTCTGTCTTCTTTCCATCTTTGTCCCTCCTCAGAGGAGGAGGGGGCTGTGATCACAGAAATATCTGTGTGGAGGAGGAGGGGGCAGAGCTGGGAGGGGAGGGGCTGCAGAGCGGCTGTGCTGAGCTGGCAGACTTGGCTGCTGCTCTGAGTCTGGTGGCTTGGGGTTACCAGATTAGGACTAGGACCTTGGTGTCTGTTTGTCAAGGTTCAAGTCCTGCCTGTTGTCTGTCACAGCTGAGTGACCTCGAGAAGTCATTTTACTTCCCTGTGTCGCAGGGCCACAGATATCGGCCCCCCCTTTCTTTTTGGTAGTACTGGGGTTTGAACTCTAGGCTGAACTATGCCGGCCCTTTTTGTGTTGGGTATTTTCGAGATAGTGTCTCAGGAACTACTTGCCCAGGCTGACCCCAAACCGAAATCCTGATCTTTGCTTCCTGAGTAGCTGGCATTATAAGGATGAGCCACCAGTGCCTGGCTAAATACAGTCTTTTTATTTTCTTTTTGGCAGTGCTGGGGTTTGAACTCAGGGCCTCATGCTTACTAGGCAGGTGCTCTACGACTTGAGCTTCTCTGCTAGCCCACTCGTGAGGATGTCTGAAGAATCAGTGAGAAAATGTATGTGAAGGATGTTCGCTTCTTTCCTGTTGGTGATAAGATAGATGGTTTTGGGGAGCTGCCCCAGAGAGGAAGGTCACCATGGCTGCCACCAGCAGTGTTACCACGATCAACTAGCTAAACTGGCCACTAATAATGATAAGCACGATATGCCAGGAGCTGTTTTAATAGCTTTATATTTTCTTATTTAATCCTAATACCCTTCTGTCAGGTAGATGCTATTGCAGTTGCTGTTTTGCAAAAGGGAGAGACACAGAGAGGCAAAGTAACTTGCTTAAGGTCACTCAGCTGGTTAGCAACAGAGCCAGGATTTGAAACTAGGCAGTCTGGCTCCAGTTTATAGTTGTTGACAGATTAGATTAGATATGGTTAGATGGTCCATCTAACCACATTACGATTAGATGATCATAAAAAATTTAAATGACCCAAGGGAATACAGTAAGTGTAACTGATTTTATTATATTTTTTGTGGTGCTGGGCATGGAACCCAGGACTTTGTGCTTACTAGGCAAGTGCTCTCTCTACCATTGACCTGCAACCCCAGCCCCCAAACCCAGGACTGTTCCCAGAAAGACTAGAGAGAGAACCCAGCTTGCCTTCATGACCCACCCCATGACCAACCTCCGATGTCCTGCCACATCCCCAGTGCCCACACCTCTGACAGGATTAGGGCTGCGTTTTGTTCCCTTTCCTCCCTGGGCCACTGGGGCTCACAAGGCACCCATATGAGTGGAGCCTTCTGGAAACAGTACCCCTCCCTCCCCACATTGTCTGTCCCCATCCGTGGTAGCCACTTGAAGGAATGGCAGACCCTAGGAGTCTTGTGGGAAGCAGGTTAACCACACAGCCTCTACACACAGCCTCCTTTGGAGTAGGGAAAAGTAGGAGAGGAGGGAGAGAAGTGACTCTCTCCTCCTGCTGACTTGGGAGCCAACCTGGGAGCAGTCATGGATCTATGGGGGTGGAGAGGATCCTGTAGCTGTGGAGCCCGAGCTGCCACACAGTGAGTCAGAGCATCTGTCCTGACGTCTGTGCCTCTCTGGGGAGGCCAGTGCTGCTGGCAGAAGGACAGGGCCCTGGAGGCTGTTCCATCACCCTGAGCCTGGCAGGGTGGCCGCCACACCTTTAGCGTGTGTGCTTATATTTCTAACCCTGAGCCTCTCAGTGGCTCTGGAGGCTGAGCACCACCCCTCCCAGTTCACAGATGGACATGGAAGCTTTCTCAAGTTCGCAGAGCGAGTGAGTGGCACATTGCTGCCCCACTAAGGCAGAGGGGAGAAACCAGGGCCTCTCTAGGGTGCTCTTCTGGGAAGTTACCCTTGATATTTGTATAAGCAGATTTCACCTGGCTAGACATGCAGAGGGACAACGGTGAACATGTTTTATCCGCCTTCCCCTCATTCCAGATGGAGAACCCATGGTCCTATAGAAAGATAGCCTGGAGCTGGGGTTAGCACTGTGGACAGACACCAACCCTGGAAACCCAGGAGACAGGGAGAGAGGAGCAATTGGGAGGATAGCTCGGGCCTGAGAGCTGGCTGGGGATGCTGGCTGCGAACCTCCCTGGCATTGAGGAGGCACTGACACATATTGGCTTTGCCGCCTCCTCCCCTGCTCCATCTGCTTGGGAATCTGGCTCCCTTCCCGCCTCCTCCTTGACATCTCCCCACACCTGAGCCACCTCTGGCTGCCTCAGGAATGAGGCTGGGCTCTCATACAATTGAAGAAGGTCTGGGTGAACCCCTGGTTTCCAAACCTAAGTGTGTTCCCAGGCAACACACAAATCCTTCACGGAGCGCGTGATGGTTGTGCACATGGCGCTTACTTAAATTGTTATGATAGGTGGGTCTCACTTTGTGAAAATCTGATATAGGAAAATCCAATTGATGATGACACATGGTCAGAGGAGGCTTCACATCCCAGCTTTTACAGACTTCTAGAGGCTTTGTGGTGGAAACTAAAGACTTCAGGGTAGTCTCTGAACCTTCTGAAAGTATAGGACATTTTTTCCTTGTGTGTAATTTTTTGTCATTATTTATTTATTTATTGTAGTGCTGGGGGTACATTGTGACATTAAGTTCTATTTTTTTTTTTTTGGTGGCACTGGAGTTTGAACTCAGGGCCTCACTCTTGCTAGTCAGATGCTCTTACCTCTAGAGGTACTCTTCCAGCCCTGTATAATTTTTTTTTTTTGTCAGTACTGGGGTTTGAACTTAGGACCTAATGCTTGCTGGCAGGTACTCCACCACTTGAGCCACCTCCCTAGCCCTTTTGCTTTAGTTACTTTTAAGACAGAGTCTCACTTTTTGCCTGAGTCTGCCTTTGGACTGAGGCTTTCCCACATAGCTGTGATTACAGCTGTGAATCACCACACCCTGCTTATTCTTTGTTATAGGGTCTGCTAACTTCCCCCACCCCAGACTGGCCTCAAATTACAACCCTGCTATCTCCACCTCCCACATCACAGAGATTACAGGTGTGAGCCATCGAACCTGGCATTTTCTATAAGCATTTTCTTTCCCGAGGAAATTTTTTGGGTAGATTTCTTAGATTTTCAAAGGGGTCATGAAGTTCAAAAAAGTGCTATAGGATCATCCAGTGCAGAAAGGCTTTTAATGTTTGGGGACTGCTGGTTGCCAGGTGGCAGAGTCAAATTCTAGCCTTTCTGGGCCTATGTCCTCCTCTCAGTGGCTTCGGGGGAGCGTTTCTCTCCCCTCCTTCTCCATGTGGAGAAGGACGAGGTCCACAAGTCCACAGCAGAGCTGAGTCTTAAAATAACCAAGATTTCCAGCCTCTCTGGTATCCTATAAAGGATTTAATTGCAATCATTTGTATTGTGCACACATTCTCAAAAAAGAAAAAAAATGATACTTGCATTTTGTGGAGCACAATTGCACAGGCAACCCGTTACTCCAAACTATGAAAGAAACCCATTTATAAAGAAGTTGCCAAGCCTGGAGAGCAGCAAGTCCTCTTTGGTCAAGTACAGCTCAAGTTCTTGAGTGCTAAGGGCTCAGCAGGTATTGAGCTCAGTGCGATGTGCCTTGGTCTGTGTGGGGGGTTGGCTTTGAGGGAGGGCTGTTCTCCTGACCACCAGTTGGGGCAGCGTCACTCTGTATTACAGCACTGCCTGGAGCTCCTTGTGAAATGCTGGGTCAGGGTCAGGGTTCAGAGGGACCAAGATCAGGGCTCAGTCTAGGTTCAGTTGAGGCCCCCTTTAAGACCTTTGTTATGTAAGCCTCCATGTTGGGCTCAGGGTTCAGTCCAGGACCATGGTCAGTGCTTAAATTTATTGCTGATGTCAGGGTTTGGTCTGGACCACGGTTAAGTTCAATTTGGAATCAGGATCAGGCATCTGTGTAGGACTTTAGTTGGAGCTCAAAGATCAAGGCTTAGTTAATTACTAGTACTAAGACTCAGTCTAGAATTAGAGTTGAAGTTCATTCTGTGGCTAGCACCAGTGGACTCACATGGCCATCCTTTCTGCAGGTGCCCAAGACTCCACGCCCCGGGATGGAGTCAGCTGCCAGCAGGCGCCTGACCACCAAGCACAGCAGGAAGGCCTTGAAGGCCAGCCTGACACTGGGCATCCTGCTCAGTATGTTCTTTGTGGCCTGGCTGCCTTTCTTTTTGGCTAACATAGCCCAGGTAATGCATGGCAGGGAGATGAGTCCAGGCCTGGCTGGGTGACCAGAGCCTCACCCTGGCACAGGTGCAGTGAGGGAGGAAGGGAAGGCTGGCTCTTATGGAGCCTGCATTTGTATGTGTCAGTTCTGTTTGCACAGGGTGGGATGTCTGGGTCCCTGCCCCAGAATCGGGCATGACATGTTCTCTCTCCCCAGGCTGTGTGTGACTGCGTCTCCCCAGGCCTCTTCGATGTCCTCACATGGCTGGGGTATTGTAACAGCACCCTGAACCCCATCATCTACCCACTCTTCATGCGGGACTTCAAGCGGGCCCTGGGAAGGCTCCTGCCATGCCCCCACTGTCCCCAGGAGCACCAGGCCAGCCTTGCCTCCCCTTCCATGAAGACCTCTCACAGCGGTGCCCGGCCTGGCCTGAGCCTGCAGCATGTGCAGCCCTTACCCCTGCCTCCAGACTCGGACTCAGACTCAGACTCAGGCTCCTCAGGCCTGCAGCTCACGGCCCAGCTGCTGTTGCCTGGAGAGGCCACCCGGGAACCCCTGCCACCTACCAGGGCCACTGCAGTGGTCAACTTCTTCGACATTGATCCTGTGGAGCCCGAGTTGCGGCTGCATCCACTCGGTAACCCCACAAACTGACCAGGTCTGGAGCTGGCCAGCAATGAGCCATGTCTCTGAGGCCTTAGCCAATTTGGCTAAGCTAGGAAGCTGTAGGTGTCCAGGTTGCTGTCTGAACTCTGGGGTGGTCATGAGAGGGTGTGGCTGTGCTAGTCCCCACAGCAGCTGCAGGGCCCCTGACCTGCAGGAATGGAGCTAGCTTGAATGCAGTTCTCTGCAGGACACTCCACTATTACATGTAACTTGGGGTTTGTGCACAACAACACTGAAGGACTCTGGGAGTTGAGCAGGATGACAGTCTTAGCCTTTGCCCATTGTCTCAGGCTGGGTGGGAGGGAATGCTTCCATCACAGGTTTATGCTTGGCCCAATCCCTCACTACTCCAAGTGCAGTCCAGGGACCGTCAGCATTCTGCACACCTGCGAGTTTATTTAGTGTGCTCACCTCTGCCCCATCCCTGGCCTGTATGCTGGTGAGATCCTCACCAGCTGTATTGTGAGCTGTGTTGTCTGGCTTTAACCCTGAGGATGGCTTGCTGGACACTTCAGTCCTGTGTGTGCCTGGGAGTCAGGTGGGCATAAATTTGAACCTTTGTTTTGCTTTTTGACTGTGGAGTCTAGCACCGGTTACTTATCCTCTCTGAGCCTCAGTTTTCCCCTTTGTGGAATGGGGTATTTATGCCATCTCTCAGGGTTGTCTGGAGAATTGGGATAGTCTCAGTAAGGGGTTAGCAAGGGGTGTGTTCCGTTGTTATAACACCTGGCCATCCAGCCCCCTGGCTCTGGCTATGGGCCAGGAAGGGCTATTCTCACATTTAAAAATTTTTTTTAGTGCTGGGATGGAACCTAGGGCCTTGCGCATGTTAGGCAGGTGCTCTGCTCCTGAGCTACACTCAAGTCCCATTGTACTTTTTCTACCCCCAGTTCATATTCCCACATGACTCAGGCTCTCCACCTGCTGGTTCTGGGTGCTGGGCAGGGCACCTGTCACTCAGGGACCCTTCTAGCGTCCAACTGCTGCTTGGTCTGTCCTGGGCAAAGGGGCAGGTAGCCATTCTTGTTCAGTGTTGGGGGCAGGTTTTCTCCACCCTGGGTTTCCATGGACCTAGAGGGGGACAGCTGCTAGGGACCCATGCAGCCCCTGCTCAGCCTCCTCTGACCTTTCCCTGGGTCAGTGAGGGAAAGGGATATGGCAGCCACTTGGGTTGGCAGAGCAGTGTTGAAGAGCAGCTGTCCCTGGCATGGGGTGGGTGGATTCTGCTCAGGGACCTTGTTTGTGTGGGCAGGGGTCGGAGAACTCCCGGTTCCTGGCTTACCTGCTCTAGGTTCCTTTTTAGCCCCAGGTTTTTCTCAAGTTCCACCAACTTAAACTCCCAGGGTCCTCCGCGAATGACTGGGCGCTCTCCTTGGTGCTGATCAGACTCAACTTGGCCTTGGCTCCTGCCTGCAGAAAGGCCATGGTGCTTGCAGGGGCTTCCTCTCTGCCTCCAGGCCTGCCAGAGGGGATTCTCAATAAACACTGGCTAGAGGAAGTGACCATGTGGACTGGATTCTATTGAGGGGGGGCTAAGGAAGCATCTGAGGCCGTGGAAGAGACCTGTGCCCGGGTGTATTGGGTTCTGGTCTGAACTCTCTCTCCCGATTTGCTTTTGGAACCCCAGCAATATCTTTTCCCATATTGGGGCCTTAGTGTGGCACAAGCAGTTTAGATTCGAAGCAGTAGGAGTTGTGTGTTTGTAGAATGAACAAATGCAAATATGCTGGAGGAGCCGTCTGGGTTTTGTACTCTGTCACCAATTCCTTCCGCCCTCCTCCCAGCTCCTCCAGAGCTTGTCCACATGCCCTCTGCCTTGCCACCATTTCCCCTTGTGCACACTGGGGGCACCTCTGGCCCTGCCATCCAGGAACAGTGGGAGGAACAAGGAGGAAGCTTGACATGAATGTTGACATGGCAGCTAAGAGCTTAGGTTCTGAAGTCGTACTCATTGGGTTTGAGACTTTGCTCCATCACTGACTAGGTGTGTGACCTTCAGCAGGCACCTAATCTTTCTGAGCCTCAGTTTCCCTAAGTATAAAGTGCAGAGAACAATAGTACCACTGGGCATGGGTGGCTCATGCCTGTAATCCAAGTACTCGGGAGACAGAGATCAGCCCAGGAAAATAGTTCATGAGATCCTATCTCGAAAAAACCCATCACAAAAAAGGGTTGATGGAGTGGCTCAAGGTGAAGGCCCTGAGTTCAAGCCCTAGTACCACGCACACACACACACACACACACACACACACACACACATACACACAAAACCCCACAAAAAACAATAGTACCAATGCTATAGGGAGCTCATGAAAGTCAACTGAAAAATCCATGGAAGCATTTGGTCCATGGTAAACACCCAGTATGTATGGGGGGTGCTCTTATCATTTATAGATGTTGTTGTCACCCGTTCCTGCTACAAGAACTCCTTCGCTGTATAATCCACGCTTGCCTCCAGGCTCAGTTCCCACTACACCAAATGCCAATTCAGTGTTTATTCCTCGTGCCCCGTTCCAGTTATATTCAGAACCACCATGATGCACACTCTAGGGATGCTGTTCACATCCCATCTGTGTAACTGTTGCTTCTGTAGTTGTGCAGTGCACAACCTGCATAGACCTTCAGGACAGACCGAGCCGATCAGATCTTCTAAGAGCAGAGAGAGGAAGCTGCCCCTTGGCACCTGGGTCTGCTCTGTAGGAGCCCATTGGTGGGGCCTGGGGCTAGAGGGCAGTGCTGGCGTGTTTATGGAAGAGCAGGAAGACACCTAGCGCCACAGAGGCCAGGGGAAGGAGGTGGCATGGGAGCCTCCAGCCCCAGAGAGACCTGTGACCTACCTCCTCATGAATAGCCAGACCTCTCAGCTGGGACTTCAAATGCAGGAAGCCCATGGCTGGATGGGAGCCCTGGAGTTGGAACTGTGCTCTGTTGCCCAGGTGGCAGTGTTTTCTCCCCTGTTCCCCTTCCTTCAAGTTCTTTTTCAGTTCTGATTCCTTCAATTTAGGAAAGGCACTTGTGGATTTCCAACCTTCAGAGCTCCCCGGGGAGAGTGCTGCATAGAGAAATCTGGGGAGATGCCCAGGGTCTCCACTAGGGTCAGTCCAGTCCCTGGCAGAACCCTTGGGTCTCGTGGGTGCAGTCAGGGCAGCCCAGTGGGTTGGGGCCCATGCCATGCCTGCAGACACAGGGGCTCTCAGCTGGGCTGGCAGCAGGAGGAAGTGGGGTCCCTTCAGGTTGGTCCAGGACTGTGGGCACCTGGGCTTGGCTGGAGTCAGTGGACATAGCCACTTTGGGGGTGTCTTCGGGTGCGAGCCCCTGGGTTTGCCCATCCTGATGGGTGGTCTCAACTGCTACCTGGCTGGGCTCATCTTGGGGCAGGCTGCTGGGGGCCAGCAGTAGCCCCTTCTCGTCCCAGCCTGGCTTGGTGTGGATGCCCACGGCCTTCAGGATGACGTCCATCTGCTTGGCGTAGTCCAGGTGGCCACTGACCTGCAGGAGGACAGTGAGTGAGGGCCAGCAGTGGGTAGGCAAGAGGGCCCAGCCCTCCCCAGTGCCCTGAGCTAAGCTTCTGAACCTTGACATCCTCAGCCAACCACTCACCAATCCCATCTCCAACTCTCACTCTCAGATCCAGAGTGGGGTGGCGAGGCTCCAGGTTCAAAGCTGTTGTGGGATTTCTTAGATAAAGGCAAAGAAGTTTCTCTAAAAGGGTGGGTCCTTTGAGCAGGGAGGACTCTCCTGATGGACAGCAGGCTGGGGGAGGCTCTTGTTCTCTGCCTGCCACTGTAGTGGAAGGGCCCTGGTGCCTACTGGTCATGGAACTTCAGGGCATGGGCACCTTCTATCCCTGACTCTTGTTGCCTCCTCTGTGAATTGGGGACAGTCAGAGTAGCTTTACCAGAGGGTGGCTCTTGGGGATTTCTCCCAGAAAAGCCCCAAGTTGGAAATAAAGCTACAGCAAGGGCTGCAAAGTGTTGTGATGACAGCTGGCTCTCCCCCTTCTCCCTTAGTCCTAAGAACTCTGCCCAGTTGCCCTCGCAGCTGGGTGTAGCATTGGGACAGTCATGGCCAATGAATGTGTCTTGCAAAGGTCATGTATTGGAAACAGTCCCCAATGCCACAGAGTTCAGAGGTGGACCTGTAAGAGGTGAGTGGATTAATGCTGTTCTCTCGAGAGTGGGATTGTTATCCAAACGTGTTCATCTCTCTTTTGCCTTTTGCCTTCTTGGACGATGCAGCAAGAAGCCACCAGACCAGAAGCCAGTGCCAGGCCTTTGGACTGCACACCTTCAGAACCATGAGCCAAACAAATTTCTGTGCGTTGTGAATTGTCTGTCTCAGGTATTTATAGTAGGACAAAGGGACCAAGTCAGAGAGGAAGCAGTGATGTTCTGTGGGGCATCCTTGGAACTGAATTTAGAAGGAGGGGTGCTCTTCTTTTTGTGTGTGTGTGGGAGATACTGGGGCTTGAACTCAGGGCCTACACCCTGAGCCACTCCATCAGCCCTTTTCATGATGAGTTTTTTCGAGATAGGATCTTGAGAACTATTTGTCTGGGCTGGCTTTGAACTCTCATCTTTGCCTTCTGAGTAGCTAGGATTACAGGCATGAGCCACTGGCCTGGATGGAATTCAGACAGGATGGCCACAGCCTGAACAGCCATCTTGGGCCATGAGCCGGTCCATTAAGGAAGGCACAGCAAGCTGCAAGAGAGAAGGAATTTTAGCCCCTGAACACTGCAGTCAGCAAAGTAGTCCAACACTGCCTATTCTGGCATCTTCTGTGCGACAGAATCAAGCTTTGTGTGTTTAAGACACCTTAGCATGGCTCTATTACATGGTCTTGAACGCCAGCTAAGACAAGGGTGAAGAACTTAGAAGTGCCATCCCTTTTCTCGGAGAATAAGACATTGCACTGGGATGTGTCTGTGACTGGAATGTCCGGTGCCTGGATGGATTAACGGATGATGTCCAACACACAGTAGGTCTTTAATACAGTCAGGTAACTAACCTTTTTGGATAGGTGCTGGATGGAGGCCTGTTTGTAAAGCCTGGTTTCTGCATGGAAAGTCAGTTGGTGAAGGAGGACTTCAAAATCAGTCCCATTTTACAGATGAGGAAATTGAAGCCCAGAGTGGTTTGCTTAATGGTACAGTGAGAGAAGCACAGTGCAAAGCCCAGTCCCTTGCTTAAGATGCACGCGTGAGAGCTGGGCCCGAGTTCTCCCCAGCCTGCCCAGAGGGCATGCCCAGTGCCAGAGGCAAGCACAAGCCTGAAGGGAAAGGTTTTTATTTAAAAAGAACAGGAAAACACTGGGGAGGCTCTTGCTGGGGATCTTAGCAAACAACACAGACTCTGCTGCTAACATCTGCATTTCTATTGAGTTCCAAATCACACTGAGCTGTTCAAATGATTTGTCAAGAACACAAAGAGAAACTTCCCTGTGCACTTCTGTCATTTTCTCACCGGGAACCTGCCTGCCTCTCCAGCCTTTCCTTATGAATGTCTTGAAACACATGTCCACACACAAAGACCTTCTCAGGCACATGGATTGGGGTGGAGGTCAAGGTGAGGCCAATGCCCTTTTGCTTCAGGTGTATTGACCGTCTGGGTGGCACCAGAAAGAACCTGCATTTGGACTCAGAGAAACGGGCCCCAGCTTCAGCTCTGTCTCTAACTTGGAACTGGGCTAGACCTTCTGATTTCCTGAACCCCATCTTCCTCATCTGTAAAATGAACAATATGACCTTGATCTGCTGCAAGAGGTTCAAGAGCCTGGCACTTTGTAGAATACAAAACTGTGGTGTTTCTTATGCAACCCAAAACACTTTCATAGAGATGTTGCTTGATTTGAATTAGTGATACCCAAACTCAGGCGTTTGGTGGGAAGAAATAATACTTGTGAGTCACAAGGCACAGTGCTGGCACTTAGTCGGTGCCCCATAAATATGAGTTCCCTTTCTTTAGTTTTCTTAGAATGGGGAATGGAGGATAGGGAGTTAGTTGGGCTGATCTACTTGGGAGCCCAAGATGGCTGCTTAAGCTCTGTACTTTACATTTGAATTCCAGCCAACAGAAACTTCAGACCCAGAGGGACAAAACCATAATTGCTTCTCTAAAGACAAACTAGAGCTGCCTCCCTGTACTTTGCAGTGCTGGCAAAGGGCTGGTGTCAGGACTGGGTGGAAATAGGAAGAAGTGCACGACCACCAGCTGCAGCTGACTCTAGTTGGATACCCTATGCCCACTACTGCTCGCTGTCCTAGAACACAGAGCTCCGGTGTTCTTGGCTTTGAGCTGGTCTAGGTCTCAGCCAACCCCAGTCCCTGGACTGCTGTTCTGTACAGACCCAGGAGAGAGAGGTGGCTGCCAGTGCTCCAACTTTACAGTCAGCTGGAGGGAGGGTGGCACGGGGGTGACGAGGGCAGGAAAAAGCCTTTTGTGAGCTGTGGAAAGTTCTGGCGCAGCTGATGCTGGCTGAAGATTTCAGCCTGTGACATCTCCCTGGCTGTCCTGTTGAAATCTGCCCGCTGCTGGCAGACTCTGAGCATTGCCAGAGTCCCCTGAAAGTGAAGAAGCTGTCTCATGGTCTCATGCTGGCTAGAGACCCTCACTGGGGCGTCACAGCCTCTGGACACTGAATGGTGGCCCTCAGTGCACCTGGACAGCATCAGTTTCTCGTCAGACTATTTGCTTCAAGGGCCACTTCTAAGTCACCCTTGCAACCCACACAGCCCTAGATCCTCATGCATATGAACCCGCCCTGGCACTTCCCATTTCTTGCATGGAAAGAGACCTCAAAGGGACCGAACCTTGGCTATCACCACCCCTACTGCCTGTCCCAAGAACTACCTTCCGAGCCTACCAGGCCCCTTGGGACTCAGTTCCCTCAGCTGTAAAATGGGACTCATAAAGACATCTACACCGTGTGGGCTGGTGTGAGGATCTAGTGGGATAACACATGGAGGAAGACATATTGGCAGACTTGGAGGTGGCAGCTGAGGCCATGGGCCATAGGAATGCAGGCTGCACAAATGTGTCTTTGAGGGCTCGGGCTTTGAAATAGGTTCCCCATACTCATCGGTAATAGGCAACGAGGTAATAGGCATCACCTCCTAATGCCTCAGTTTGCACATCTGCCCAATGGGTTATGATGCCTGTATGCACATAGAGCGGTGCCTGCCACAGGCTGGCTATTGTTATTGCTGTTATTATGATTGAGTGTCTCCTTTGTGCTGAGCCTTTTGCTAAGTTCTAGAAGACACTTGGCATCTCCTTTGGGACACAGAGAGCCTTGCCCTGGGCCTGGGTCCCTGGAAGCCTAATGTACTGGGCCTGGGTAGTGGAATCCCCCTGCCCACGGCAACCCAGTCCCTGTGTCTGCAGGACAGACCGAAAGTCTGGAAGGCAGCTTGGCCTTGGTTCCTTCATTCACCTCAGAGATGGCCTCTGCCTGCGACAGGGTGGGCGGGGAGGTGACAGGTCTGTGGTTTGCTGGGAGCTGAGTGTGGCTAGGCTTCCCCAGCAGCCAGCCCTTCTCCTCCAGCGAGTTTCCAAGGAAAACGGGAACAGGAACAGCACACAAAGGCAATGCTAATTACCTCCAATTACCCAGAGGAGAAAAGCACCGCTTTGGCGATGCACCTAATGAGATAAAGAGCTATTATTAGGCAGGAGCTGGGAAGCTGCCACGGGCTCTAGTGAGAAGGGCAAGCTGCTGGTCTCCTGGGCAAAGAACTGGGGGTGATGGCAGCAGTTGGAGAGGAGGGGGGGCTAAGATTTAGTGAGAGCCTACTATGCTCCAAGCTTCTTACTTGGACTGTCCTGGAAGTTAGGAGATTTACACCACTTCATTGATAAGGAAACTGAGGCACAGAGAGGTTAAGGACTGGCCTAAGTTCCCACAGCCAGGACACCAGTGGTGGATTCTAAGCTAGGCCTCTAGGGCCAAAGGCTGGGCTCTCCCTGTGGCCTCCTGCCTGGCTTCCGGGGCAGAGTGGTGAAATAAAGGGAACTTAAACTGAAAAGGAACTCCTGGATTTTTTTTTTTTTTTTTTTGCTGTGATAGGTTTTTGAACTCAGGGCCTCCACCTTGAGCTAATCCACTAGCCCTTTTTTGTGATAGTTTTTTCAAGATAGTCTTGTGAACTATTTGCCTGGCCTGGCTTAGAACTGTGATCCTCCTGATCTCTGCCTCCTGAGTAGCTAGGATTACAGGTGTGAGCTTCCCTGGATTCTTTTGGCAGAAGAGGACACATGGTGGTGAGGCACAAGGTCCTCACTCCTCTTTGTCCCATTCAGGGTGCAGGAACTCTCAAAAATCAGACAGAGAACCCTGGTCATGGGTCAGAAGGCATCAGTACAGAGCCTGTGGTTTTGTGCCTTCCTCAGTCCCACAGGGAGGTGGCAGCATTCAGAGGCCAGACTTTCATGCCTCAGTTCTCCCATCTGTGAGCTGGGGACACCTAAGAGCTACTGTACAGGTGGATGAGAGTCACAGCTCACATGTTTCAGGGATAAAGATGATCCAAGAGGGCAGGAACTCATGTCTGTCCTATAAAGCCTGTCCAACCTGGGCCATTGGGTCCATGAGCAGATGAGTCTAGAAACTCCTATTCCTGGGGTTACCCCAGGCCCCAAAGTTCCCACTTAGGAAGGCCCAGGGCTGCCCCATTTTTTTTTTTACTTCTGGGGCCAGTGATCCTCAGCCTATGTGAGGGTCTTGGGAGTTGGGGGAGCTCAGACACAGGGGAGGATGGATTGGCCCTAGCAAGATGGTTGTAGGCCAGGAGAGAGGCCTAGGTGAACCCCAGGCAGGAATATTGCTGGTGGACACAGGGCATTGGCAGGTGAAGTTCTGCTTTGTGTATGTGTGTGTGTGTGTGTGTGTGTGTGTGCGCGCGCTAGAGTTACCCTATGTTACCGACCGTCAATGCTCGGTGAAGTTTCAATAACAGGTGAGGGCTGGGCATGCTGGGGTGGCTGAGGTAGGCCATGCCCAGCTTCACCTGCCATTGAGGCTGGGATAGGGGAGGCTGGGTGGGCGGGCAGCTATGGAAGGCAGAGTCCCTCAGAGGGAGGGATTTGGCTGAAGGTGGGGGAGAGGTGTGCTGTGTTTGCTGTCAGGCAGGAGGGCTCAAATTGCCACTGTGTGCAAATTGGGTTCCCCTAGGGAGGCACTTGGCATATGTGGAATGGCAGGAAGCTGAGTAATAACTGGAACCAAACTTTTTGCCCTCGCAGCCCCTCGTGTCTCACAGATTTGCACTGGTTTAAGTCTGCCCTCTGACGCAACTGTGGCTACTGCCTTCCCCTCCTGGTGGAGGCACCTGTCCCTCTGGTTCTCATGTTTACCTGAGCTGAGCAATGACCACTGGCTTCAGACCTAGGTTCAAGTCCTGCTCTGCCATGTTCCAGCAGCGTGATCTTGGGCAAGTTCCTTGTCTTCTCTAACCTCAGTGTTCTCATCTGTGCAGTGGAGGGGGAAATGCCTGTAAATGGCTTAGGGCAGAGGCAGGAACAGCCAGTGTGTCCTCACAGGAGGTTAGGAGCTCGCTATGACAGGAATGAACTCCCTTGAAAGGAATGAGGTCCTTTCAAGTCTAAAATGTGACCTAGAAACTGCAGTAGGGTTTATGTAGCTTCCCATGAAGATACCTTCCTACTCACTTCCAGCAAGAATTCTCTGTAACCATCTCAGCCCACTGAGTCTTAGCCCCATAGGACTCCTTTGGGAATATGTCTAAAATGCAGAGTCGCAGGCCCCAAGCCATGGGGGTGGTTGGTGATGGAAGGCTTGGACGGGGGCCCTGAAACTTGCATTTTAAGTAAACTTCCAGAAGGCAGGCTCGGGGCTGCACTCCATCCTTGCTCCAGCCTGAGCCCTCGGCCTGTGTCCTTTGCTTGATCTGGTTGTTTCTGAGAGACACACATCATCCTGATGGGGGAAGAAGATGGCAGTTATGTGCCACCAGAGGGGGACTTTGTAAGTTCAAATCCTACCTTGCTAATCACTAGTTGTGAGACAGAAACTTTTCTAAACCTCAGTTTCTTCATCTGTGAAATGGGGCAACAGTTCTGGCCTGACAGCTGTGTGAGGGTTAGAGCTGAGGGGTGAAGGGCTGGGGACAGAGTCCACAGGAGGAAGGTCCCTGGTATATACTGGTCTCCAGGACTGACAGGGAGGGGTTTGCTGGGCTGAGGTTACCTGGTGTTCCTTACACAGGCACAGGCAGAGCCCTGGGAAGGACAGGTGGGCACTCACCATGGAGGACAGGTCCACATTCTCCATCCTCCGATCCTGCAATAGCACGGGCTGGAGGCCAGCAACACGGAACTGCACAGAGGATGTGCGGTACACAAAGCTCAGTAGCCAGTCTCCCCTGCAGGTGGAGATGGGTGACATTAGCCTGGGAAAGGTAAGACTGGGTCCACCTGACCCAAGGGTTTTGGTGGGACTGGAACTTCTGCAGGAGACCAAGACCAGACTGTGTGGAGAGCAGTGCTGAGAGCTTGCCTGGCCCAGTGCCAAGGGCTGCACACAGATGCCACGGTGACTCTATGATGGCTCTGTTTTGGTCCTGCTGGGTCCCCAGAGCCAAGAATAGTATCTGTCATGCAACAGATGCAGCTCTGTTGACTGACACCTAAGTATTTTTTTGCGGTGCTGGGGATGGAACCCAGGTCCTCCTGCGTGCTAAACACACGCTCCATTAGAGCTAGAGTCTAACCCTGATGACTGAGTGAACACTGAGTGGACAAGAAGAAACTGGATAAGGTTCTCCTTGATCCATGTGTTGCTCAGGCGAGCTTTGAACCCCTGTCCCTGCAATCCCCCCAGCAGACAACCCCACACTATCCAGAGAAAATAAGCCTAGACTCTACCTCCCAGCTCTTGAGAGGCAATGAGCATTGTACAGGGATGATGACACGGTCTGAGGGTCCCACAGATGGCCTTCCTTCTTGAACCCCTGAATTTTGTCCTGGGGTGAAGCTGGGGAGGTCAAGAGTCATGCACTCAGGCCTCGTGACTCAGTCAGTCCAGGCATGTGTACGGATTACATCCAGACACATCTGATTTAGCACATCTGGTCATCTTTTATGGAGACTGATATCCACCGGATCCCCAGGAATCTGCTTCTTTTGGCATCCAAAGTAGCACCCTTCCTCACTGCAGGATGGGGCTCAGAATGGCCAAGAGGCAGGAGGCCTGGTTTGAGTCCTGGTCTTGGCTGTGTGATCTGTTATGTGGCCACAGGTCAATCTCCAGCTGGCCTGGGGCTCAAGGTTGGTGGGGCTCTCCCGGGCCTGGTCAGTTCTGACCTTTGTGGTCTCTGACAACGTGGGTGTGTGTGGGAACCAAACTGGAAGGCCCTAGAAGGACAGGGTCCAGGTTGGACTTGTCAAACTGGTGTGCTCCAAATTGGCTTGCCAGCCTCTACCTCCTTCCTCAGTAGCACCTGCCCAGGTGCTCAAGCAGAAACAACTTCTCAGATTAAAACACGTATCTGACCATAGTCCTCTGCTCTTACAAACCACCCGTGGCTCCCCATTGCCCACAGACTTTCCCTTCTAGAAACTCCTTAACTCTCTCCAGAGAGCAATGCTTTCAGATCCCAATGACCATTTTAAACCTGGGGGTCTAAGAAGCAGTATCTAGGAATGGTGGTTACAGGGGTAGGGGAGATGAAGCCAGTTGTTTTACTGACCTAACCATAGTACTTATGGATACCCAATACTGTAAAAGTTCCCGATACAGACAGTTGTAAATAAGCAGAGTCAGTGTCATCCTTCCAAACTATTTCTATTATAGTTATGACAACAAAATATTCATTTCACTTTTTATACAAATGGAGGGACAGCGCAGGAGCATATGATAAAGGTTTCCACAATCTCTCTACTGTGCTGATGAGCAAACCACAGAGCCTTCAAGACTTCTCCTTCTGGTTCTGGGCCACACAGAACCAGATTCAAGTCTTGCCTTGTCTATAATGAGCTGTGAGACCTTGGGCAAGTTGCTTGACCTCTCTGAACCTCTATTTCCTCAGTGTATCTTAGCTTCTAGAGTTGGTGGGAGCATTAGCTGAGATGGTTCATGCATACACAGGTACTCAGCAAGTCTCTAGTATGACTGCTAGCCCTGTGTGTGGTGTGGCTGAGGCAGGCTAGAGTTAGGGAAAGTTCGGGACTCACAGAAACTATATGACTTAACAGTACATTTCAGATTGACCATGCACTGACTCAGGGATGGCCAGACTGTCCTCACCTGGCCTGGGACCACCCATGCCCCTCCCCACTCACTGATGGGGATGGATGGGAATTCCTGGTTCCTCCCTTCCCATGGGTTAGCTTAGGTTTTAAAAGCACCTGGAGAAGAGAGGCATGTTCTCTGTGCTTCCTGGCTTCCACGTGTATTTCCCTTTCCTAACTTTTAGCAAACTCCATTTACACCCACATGTCCTGCTATGGATTCCTCCAAGTGGGACATTTTGGAAGGCTTCTGATCACAGACTGCACCACTGCCGTTAACATTTATGGCAGCCAGCCAGAAGTTAAAGGGAGAGATCTCAAGATGCTACTTCTATTGATCTGTTTTCTCCTAACTCCATCCCTTTCTGTCCTTTTGCCCTGCGCCCCCTGCCTGATATTTCAGAACCAAACACCACCCATGGTTTGGGTGTTGTGGGACCCTCACACTGAGACAGTGGGGCCTGACTCCCATAACTCCCTCTGGGAAAGGACCTTAGCGCTGCACTGGGACTTGCATGGTTCATGTTGCCAGTTTTTGCCCTGGGGATGCATTAAAACCGCAATGCCCTTCCCCCTTTCTGCTTCTCCCTCATCCCTCTCTGACCATTGGACCTATGCAGCCATATGGCTCTGGGAGGGTGATCAGGAGAGGTTAGGAATGCGTGCCCACTGGAGCTTAGCTGCTAGGAGCTGTGCAGCCAAGTGGATGGCAGGGACAGCCCCGCGACTGGGAACTTGCAGTGCCTGGAGCTGGCGGGGTCTGCTCAGGTGGTAGTGTTTGCTCAGTGGCTGGAAGGCTCACCCAGGCTGGCAGCCTTCACTGGGTGGCTTGAGCAGGGAGTAGAGCCAGTGCTGGCTGTGCTCCAAGACCCACCACCCACTTGGTCCAGGCTCTGTGGCCTCTGATGTGAGTGCCAGGGGACGCTAAAGGAGCCAGCTCTAGCAGCCACAGCCCCGGACCTCAGACCAGACCCCTCTTTCCAGACCCTTCTTCCTCTTCCTCCCCTGTTCCGCTCCCTTGCCCATCTACCCACCATGCCTCTGTTTGCCCTGGGCACCTGGTCCCAACTGTCATCAGTGCTTTCCTTGTTCATATGCCTGCAGGGGTTGCAGAAATGCTCACCATAAGGTCACATTCCCGTCCCAGGAACACATGCCCTGGGCCTGACAGTAAGTGGCTGGCACCCTTCACTGATGGGGTTTTGGGGTTAGTTACCAGATTCTAAAGGTAGTCTCTAAACCTCCTTTCTTTAGGGAAGCTAACAAGGACTGGCAGAGTAGCTCAAGTGGTAGAATGCCTGCTTAGCAAGTGTGAGGCCCTGAGTTCAAATCCACCTTAGTTTGCTTCGATTATTTGGTCTCCTCATTAGGGTAATAGTTCGGTTAGCGTCCAGGATCAGCACTACATTCAGGAGCCCATGAATGGGTGAGAGGCAGGGCCTTAGGAGAATGGTTGATGGAAGTCAGGGGCCCCTGCTGCTTGTTCATTCTGGAGACGTCCGACAGAACCAGGTCGAAAGGACCTATACTGGAGACTTCCTTGATATCTAAAGAAAGAATGCCTCACAGATCCAGGAAGCTCTCCCTTTCTCCCAAAGGGCAAAATTCCCCTTTCCCTTTCCCTCTCTCCTCACCAGGCAGCACAGGGAAGCCAGCAACTCACTACTTGGCTGCATCCTGAAATACTGGGAGCACTTTGATCCTGCTAATAAACAGGATCTGCAGTAACACTAGAGGCCACAGACCAGTACAGGCAGTAACACCTGCCTCTCAGGCAGAGATCTCTTATTCCATAACAGCTTATGCTGCATGTAACATGTCTTTGCATTCCATTTGAAAGCCCCTTTGGCGAGAGCATGGGGTCATAGGAAATGCTGCTACCATGATGAAGCTGCCACACATCTAGCACCTTCTTGCCACTCCCTAGGGATAGGAAACTCATGGATGATGCCATCTTGTCATCCTCTAGGAAAATTATAACTAACATGTGGTTAACATTCTCTAAATTAATATAGTTTTAATGCATTAATCTGTTAAGGATTAGACAAAGATAGGGTATTTGTGTTAGATCTGTTATAAACTACTTAAGAATCTCACTGACTAACCTACTAAAAACAAAGGAATGACAAAGCAATGGTCTAAGAGTGTACTCTGAATTAATGTGATTGTTTGGTGTGTGTTCTGTGCGTGTCTTTGTCTTCTACCAATTGTGGCCACAGAATTTTTACTTTTTTGTGCGCTTAAATTGATATTTTTTGGCATGCCTAGATCAAAACATCTGTGTGTGTGTGTGTGTGTGTGTGTGTGTGTCTAGATATCTTTAGGATGGTTCATAAACTTCCTTTATAAAGTTAATGTGTAAAACTGTTGTTTAAAAAGTTACCTAAAATTCTGATCCCAACCGGGTCTGTCTCTGCCTTTGCACTAAGAAAATTTATGGACAATAATCTGTTTTGTTCTATCATGATTGTAATTTACATTCAACTCTCTTTTATAATATGGTTACACGGTTATTAATGCAAACACACATTTGTAAATACACCTGGCTTGGGATTTGGCCCAAGCCCCCTTCTCCATTTCTCCCCCAAGTTTAAGTTCATAGTAACTAAAAGAACTTCAGGATTGAGAATCAGAACACCTGGTTGGTGCCTAATTGAACAGAGGAGGTGTGGCTATGGTTTTGGTCCATGTGTTGCCTTCTTCCCTCCTCCCTCTCTCTATAAGACATGACTAAGGGCCTCATCAAACAACTAAAAGCCATGCTTATTGGCCTTGGTTCTCAATAGAACAGCTAGGTTTAATAAGACTGTGTGGCTTTCATTCTCACACATGCAATTTTAATGCTTTCCCTTTGCTGTTCATGAAAAGTACCAAAAAGTCATGGGTTATGTGTCAATGCCCAGTAATGACCTTAGACCTGCTATAATTGATTGGGAACCAACTAAGTGCCAGTCCTTTCCTTCACAATCTTCTCAGAACCCCTGTGCAGGTCAGGATACCCTGGCTGATGGAAGTGGCTTGTTCAAAGCCACCCAAAAGTCAATGGCAGAGCCAAGGTTTTAACCCAGGACTGTCTGACATGCAAGTCTTTGTCCCTTCCTTTTATTTTTCTTCATTCAAAAGTTATTCTTACTTAAAAACAAGCATGTTAGGCATAGGGGCACACATCTGGACTCCCAGCCACCTAGGAGGTAGAGGTAGGAGGATCAAGGTCCAAGGTTAACCCAGGCAAAAGCATGAGACCCTATCTGAAAAACTAAAACAGTGAAAGGATCAGGGGTGGGACTCGAGTGGTAAGAGCACTTCAAGCAGGAAGCCCTAAGTTTAATTCCCAGTCCCACAAATGCAAACAGCCACCCAACCAAATAACAAACACAAGCAACAATAACAACAAAAAACAAATTAAACTCTCTGTCACATCCCTTTTCTAGTCTCTGCCTATTCCTCAGGGTGGCCATTCAAACTGCAGATAACCACTCACGTACTATGGTGGGTTGGCAGTGCAGTGAGCTCTCGATAAGTGAGATCTGAAGGTAAACTCCAGAAGGGCAGGGATTTTAGCCTGTTCTGTTCCATCTCCAGGAGAGTAGATGGAAGCTGGGAAGACTGCCCTAGTTTAAAGATGACCAGAGGAGTCTCAGCTTAAGCTATCACTAGGAGCTACTGGCTCACTGGCCTCAATCCTGTCCTGATCTCTCTGAGTTCTCTGGCTGCCCTTTCTAGCCCCTGTTGCAAACTCATGCTCATGAGCCACACAGAGCAGCTGCTGCCTCTTCTCAGCAAGTCCTCTCTCTGCGTGACTTTTTTAGTTGTAATGTCGAAAGTGTGTCCATGGAGCCATCACCTCCCCTCATCGCCCTGGTGTCATTTTTCCTTCCTTTCCCTTTTTATCCCCTTTAACTAATCACCCAACCTCACCATTTCTTAAATTCCAAGCTACCCTTTGAATTTGAGCTCAGAATGCAAATTTTCTCCTGTACTTTTGTTGCAATGACCGCAAAATAGGGGTGTCTTACCAAAAACCCTTGGGGGCTGGTCAGAATATATTTCACAAGGTAGTTCAGAATTCATAAGGTTTTGGATTTTTATGCAGGGAATCCTGCCTGTAGCCTTGTAACACAAGCAGTTCTACAAGGTTTTGGGGTGGCTAAAACCCCTAAGGCCCCCTCTCACCCCACTCAGGGGCTTCTTTCCTCCATCCCTCCCCCACTGGACTCTGCCTCTTGCCAGAGGGTCTATTGCACTGGTTACTGGCCTCCCCCATCTATCAGCTTCCTGTTCTCACCCTGGCCTCGCCCAGAAACCATGTTCCAAAAATTGAGCACTACCAACAACAAATATGTGAGCTCCTTGGTCTCGAAGGACTCCTGGGTGGGCGCCCACTTTGTTTTTCAGTCTCATCCCCTGTGTCCCCCTTCCCCTAGCTCTGATTGTGCTGAGCCTTGCCGTTCTGCAAGAGACCTTGCGCTTGACACAGGGACGCCCCCTTCATGACCTTTCCCACTGCCAGCCATCCTATGGGGTTGGATGCTTTGCAGATCAGAACACCCGGCCTGGGCAGTGCTCCATACACACCAGTGCCTGACCGGCTCCCAGGATCTTCCAGGAGAGGGATCAGGCCTCAAAACGTGTTCTCAGCAAGGGCCCTGGCTCTCTGGGTGCTTGGGAAGTGTTGTCACCTCCCCACGAGTGCAACATGTGGACAGACCTGCAGTAGCCGTTGACAATCCTCCCTGACACCACCTTCCGGAAAGGCTCCCAGTGCTTGGGGTCTCCTTCCACGGGTGCACCCAACAGGACCACGTCCTCGATGATGCCTTGGCAATCTGGGGAGAGACCCAGAAGAGGTGGTCAGTGACCTGGCCCCAGGGGTTCCTGGGACAAACTCTGCAAAGCAGTGAAGGATATTAATGTCACACACATACACTCACGTGCACATGGACATACGTGTGGACCTACACACAAACACACATACACGTGCACAGCAACAGGGACTTCCACTTCCTGGGTTTCAGGCCCTGGGTCAAACCCTCCTGTGCCCAATCTACTCCTGCAAAGAATCAATGTCACCATTTTAGAGTTAAGGTCTCATGGCTAGCAACTGATACAGTCCAAGATGGAACCCAGGTCTCTCTCCATCCCCATAGCCACTTGCTGAGGATATGGCTGGCGGTCCCCTTCAGAGAGACTGGTGAGCCCTGCCTCATCACAGGTCAGATGGGGGCACTGCTGCCTTCCTCTGCAACAGGTTCCCTGGGGCCTGTGCAGCCCGGAGGGAAGAGGGGGTGAGAGGTGAGGTGATGTGTGCTGGAGCAGGAATCCAGATCTAATGACTGAGGACTTTCTAGGCCAGGGCTAGTTGAAGTGCCATGTGTGGGTCCTGTAGGTGCAGAGTCAGAGAAGCAGCCTTGCTTTGATCCTGGTGCAGACTGGAAACCAACTGTCTGCAGATGGGCAGGTGGTTGGGTGACTCCTAGAAGAACTGCTCTAGACACATGGGAGGCACGTGTACACCTTCACCATGGTGCTTTCCTTTCCTCCGCTTTATTTTCTACTTGACCTGTATCATTTGTTATCTTTTGTGTTCTTCTCTGACATAGAGATTCAACAAGGGCAGTCACTCCAGGCACCTTATTGCAGCTGTACCGCAGAGCCTAGAACTGCACCCGGTACACAGTTGGTGCTCAATAAAGATCTGAATGGATGCATGAATGAATGAGTGAATAAACTTCTAGGCTTTGACACTAGCTTCAGTTCCTGGTGTAGCCACTGCTGAGCTGTGACTCCAGCCAAGTCTCTGAACTTGTCCAATGACAATGGCACTGGGCTTATGGGTTTTTATGAGGGCAGGTCACTGTGGTGTAGGAAAAAGCCAGCATGGTGAACACACAATGGAAGTAGGGATGTCACTCCCTGCCCTGCCTCCCCCATGTGACTCTTCCTTATGCATCTGAGCTCATGTGGAGCCCAGGAAGCTACAGGCTCAGGTCATTGCTAGGGACTGTGTCCAGTCGGGACAGCTTCCTCAGCAGTGCTGCCCTCTTGCCGAGTGACACAGAACAGGTGGCTGTCCCTCTCTGGGCCCTGACTTCTAACTGGAGTGCTTGTTTTCCACTTGGACAAGGAAACGCCAGTTTGTCTGAATAAAGGCCTCTTGGCTAGTAACAACTTGGGAACCTGGGAGCAACACATTCTCTGAGCTAAAGATCCCATGGCACAGAGCTGATCTCACTGTTTATGCTTCCAGGGAGATGATGCTCTGGCAGAGGGTTTGAAACTTTAGTCTGTTGGATTGTGTGATTAGCGGGATGGCCCTGATACCCTAGCCTGTAAGGGGTATCTCAGGTGAAAGGTCTCTGAGAGACCAGTGAGACTTCATCCCAACCTCTTCTCTTGGCAGACAAGGAAACGGGTTCAGCAAGGGGATGGGGCTTGCCCAAGGTTATACAGCCAATGAAAATCAAGATGGAACCATGGCCCAGATTATGTAGAGAGCTTTGGGGTCCCTGGGGCCAATCTCTGCTGTTGCAGTAACCACACACTCAGTGATCACATGTGGCTCTTGCTGCTCCTGGATGGTGTGGACCCAGGGAGAGCCACTGGGCCAGCAGCTCTCTCAAGGTGGCCACTCAGGTACCTCCTCTGTCCCAGGCATCTCACCCAGCTGGAGAGCCTGGTATAGCTGCAGGAGGGCCGCTCCCCCTTGTGGCCAGTAGCAGCAATAGCAGCATTCCTGAGTAACTGCTCAAGTCAAAGCCCAGCTGCTATGAAAAGCCAAAAAGACAGTTTTGTGACCTTGAACTGAGATTAGCAGTTGAACCTCATACAAGAGTCCAGAGTGCAGGTAAACCAAGGCAGGCATCTCTGAAGCCTGGCTGGCAGCTGCCAGACTCCCTCCTCTTTCATCCTCAGATGGATGCCATGCTCAAATGCACTGCTTTAAAGATTTGCTGCCTGCATGGTTGCAAACCTAGAGAAAAGCTGTGTGGCAGGCTCTCAGGGATGCACAGGTATTAGCTAAGGGAAGTCAGCAAGAATGCCTCAGGCCCTGCCCAGGTGGGTGGGGGTGGGGGGGTGGGAAGGGAACTCAACACCCACTCTCTGACCTTTCCAGGAATGGGAAAGAGACAAGGGGGAACCTTTGATAGGAAAGAGAGGGCACTGGCTGCAGCAGTAGCTGCTGGAAAGAAAGGAAAGAAGGAAGAAGGAAAGAAAAAGCAAGCAAGCAAGCAAGCAAGCAAGCGAGAAAGTCATCAAAATCCACTGTTTGGTCCCAAACATTATAATCCTGGATTTTAGTCATCCAGGTAAAATGTATAAAATTCTCAATCATCAGTTAGAGAGTAGCTCAGTGGTGGAGTGTTGCCATGCATATGCAAGAGGGAGGCCCTGGGTTCCATCCCCCAGCACCACAAAAACAAAAACAAAAACAACCTCCCTCAGGTTCTGCTTTCGGTGTGCAGTAGCCCCTCCACAGGGACCCATGACTTTGGATCACGACATGGATTCGGTGCAGAATGCCTTCCCTTTTCAGAATCAACACAAGAAGCTGGAGTTTAACATACTGGTAACTCAACGTGAGAAGACTCAGCCACCTTTTTGCTTTATGTTTGCAGAAACACGTCTGGATTGATTCCTACTGCTGCCATCAGCTCTTCCTCTGATGGCTCTAAGGTGTTAGGATAGGGTTTTTTTTTTAATGTAAAAGGGGTGGGATCAGCTTCAAGTTTGGAATCAATCACAGACATATGCAGCTCTTGGGCTTGGATTTCTCACTTTTTAAGCAGTTCTTTGAATCTTATTAATATCCTGCTCTTACCGTTGGAGTGGGTGCCCTTTCATCCTGCTAACTTTGCATTAAGGAGGTGTTAAACCTCCAGTGAAGAAAGAAAAGCTTGTCAGTCATGTCTTCACCCCTCCACTCTCAGGGCTTTTTGTATTCACATGTGCAGTGAAAAGTTTCTTTCCAGTGCTTTCTTTGCCTTTGATCTTATTTTTATTCTTTAACACAGGAGCCAGAGGGCCCAGTTTAACATGAAAGTCACAGGCATGAGGTGACAGAAATGCACTAAGATGGGGTTGTGGTGATGGTTGTACAACATGGTGTATTTATTATAAATCACCGAATTCTATATTTCACATGGGCAGAATAGTGTAAATGACACTGAAAGTAACATTAGATCATGTCACCCTGTGCTGCAACCCTGCCAGGGAACCCATCTTTCAGGGAGTCAGCGTCAGAGTCATTGTGATGGCTTGAGAAGCCCTGCACAACCTTTCTCACTCTTCCCTCAGCCTCGCTGGCCTTGCAGTCCCTCCTTCCTTGGTGCCTCACCCCTCACCTCCTGACTCTGCTTACCTGTCCCCACAAGGGAAGAGCAATATGGGCCCCCATCTTCCGGGTGCTTCCTGCCTGGTTTTCCTTTTATAGTGTTGGCGTTACCAGGATTTGAACGCAGGGCCTTCTGCTTGCTAAACACAGGCGCCCTACCATTTCAGCCACACCCCCAAGCCCCATTTTTGAAATCTTATTGATGGGTTAGCTCCACGAGGACTGGGATTATCATCTTTTGAGCTCCCTATTGAATCTTCAGTGCTTACAGTGCCAACTTTGAAGTGGTTAATCCATATTTGTGGGAGGAGTGGAAGAAACAACAAGACCCTGTAGTAGGAAACCTTCATGCTGAGAATGAGGCGCGGGAGTTGGGGGGTGGGAGGAGAGATCCCTTTTTCCTCAGCCATAACTTCTCCCCAGCAAATAACCATGGCGGGGGATCTCCGAGGGCTGGTAAAGGAGAATGAAGTGTCCTAACTCTGTGAAAGGACACGGAAGGCATTGGACCATTGTTCTAAGCTCTTCAATTGCTCATTTCTGGGAAGCTGATACTGTGCTAGGCAGCAGACCTCAATGGGGAGAACGTGAAGGGTCCTCAGAAGTTAATGCTTGAGCCTCACACAGTGAGATCAAAAGCTCATGCTAAGTCTCCCAAGAAGTAACGAACATCAGCACTAAAAAGAGGGCGCAGGGTTTCTAGGACTTTCAGCTGATTATCGATACAGCTCAGGACTGCCTGATACGCGGGGCCTGAGAAACCGTGTGGGTATCAGCCCCTGTGGGCCAATTAGATGACTCCAAAGTCCCCAAATCAGGTGTTATACTTTTAAAACTGTTTGCAGCTGGGTGTGGTGGCACGTGCCTGTAATCCTGGCCCTCAGGAAGCTGAGGCAGGAGAATCTCAAATTTGAGGCCACACCCATCTTACTGGTTGAGATGGGATCTTGCTAATTGTTTGCCCTGGATAGCACTGAACTTTCATCCTCTCACTCTCTCCCTCCCAAGTAGTTGGGATTACAGCATGAAGTTACCTCTCCCGGCACCATCTTTACCATTTTAAAGTATACTGTCTAGTAGCATCAACAACATTCATATCCTGTGCAAGCATCCTTTGCTTTTATCCATGAGAACTTCAGTAAATCAGTTTACACTTGTCACCCGCTCTTTCATGCTTTTGGCGGTTCAGTCTGGACTCCGGGATGCCCTTCTGCCACTTGGCGCTGCTAGCAGTCTGGAGATTATTTCAGCTTTTCACCAAAACCCATCAAGGGGCTGGGAAGGGACAGTCTTCCCGGTAGCAAACCTCACTTTACACTATAGTCTTGGCTTTGAAAACTGTGTATAAATTGAGTTTTTGTAAAAGCAAATATTCTTAATGGGTATCACTTAGGGCCGGCCTTTAAAGAGCCCCAGGGAGAACCCTCTGGACAAGGTGGGTCACTTTGCCCCTGGGAGCAGCCACAGCTGGCGACCTTTGTCAGTCTGCCCTTT